TTACATTAATTACATACATTACATACATTACATACATTACATACATTACATACATTACATACATTACATACATTACATACATTACATACATTACATACATTACATACATTACATACATTACATACATTACATTACATTACATTACATTACATTAAATTACATTACATTACATACATACATACATGCATACATGCATACATGCATACATGCATACATACATCCATACATCCATACATCCATACATCCATACATACATACATCCATGCATACATACACACATATGTATATAATAATTATATATATATATAAGATTATCATGTGGTAAACCAGTAATAAGCCATCACCAACATTGACATAAATAGATGGGATTTCAACCATCCCAAATAGGAGAGTTTATGGCATTTGCTTTACCGCGTTACCCCAAATGCTGCATGTTCGTCCCTTGGGTCTTCGTGCGCTGTCGCTGTACAACGCAAAGACCTAAGTATGAAACGAGAACTCCGGGGACATCCACATGTCAGGATGCACTCCCAAATCAACTTCACCACATAGGATTCAAAAAAAAAAACACAAAACAGTAAATGTTCCAAAGATGCACTATTCAGTAGATTACCTAATCGGGTACAGAAATGATGCATGTTTTGTCCATTCAGGGCAACCAACTAAATTGATAAACTTGGCACCTCCCACATATACATTTACAGTATGTTACATGTACATATATATATATATATATACGTAGTAAACATATATAATATTGAATTATATTGGTATTCGATGGTATTCGAACAGATTTGATTTGATCATTTGCGTGCGTGTGCGTGTATGTGCCTTTGGTGCACAAAAATTACCCACATGTACGTACTTCGCAGCAAACGGATTTTGTATTGAACCATGCACGTGGCAACCGCGTTTCAGAAAATCCTAAACCTGTGGCACCAGTCAGTTCTATAATGTTGATAAATCCCGAGGGTATTGATCATCATGTTTGGTGATTGAGCAATCATTTTTTATCATGTACGATGTTAAAATCATCATCTCTCACAATTGACATCAGTTGACTATATGTTTCTTCATGAATGTTAACCACATTATATAAATAACATGTGTTTGACCAGGTTTAGCCACCATTTGTTTACCGCTCTTTTCCCATTTTGCTGGGTTTCCAGCCAAGCGCCGTGGCTCACTGCCTCCGATGACGATCTCCATCCATGCACGGGGCCTGTTGTTCGGGGGTTTACTAGGAAAACCACCTATAAAGGGTGGATTACCCATGAATCTTTGGGATTGGCCGTATTTTTTTAGTTTCTAGGACTTGCTGTAGTATTTTCACATCATCAGATGATATCTAAAAAATCTAATGTCTAAATTTTGTCGATTTTCATGTCAAGTATTCAAAGGAAACATGTTCCATGATATAAAAGAAAATATCCACACTTGGTGTTCAGAATTCGATAACAGCAACAATTGGTTCTTGACCTTGGATGATATTCGACGCGTATATATATATATATATATAGTGTCCTTACCAGCTTAATATACAGGCGAGGCACATATGCAATCACGTATTTGATAATAGTGTATGCAGCAAATAAATAAATAAATATATATATATGTATATATGTATATATATATATGTATATATGTATATATATATATGTATATATGTATATATGTATATATGTATATATGTATATATGTATATATGTAAAGAAAATGATGATTAAAACAGTAGCATTTGAAACTACTGCTGGGATGCCGTACATTAATATCTACTTTTTGTGGATGCGTTTCCTTTTAATATCAGCATGTCTCCATCTGTCCTTTGGATTCACTCCATGACTCCATCACATGTACATATATATATATATAAATATACATATGTACGTATGTAGAAAACAGTGGAAACCAATTTTCCCTTATTTTGGGTGATGCGAACCATCAAAACAGAGGGTCGACCGTGCAACCGGAAAGGCTTACATTGGGAATCGAACCGGGGATATCAACAACAAACCAAGGGATTACCATCAACGATGAGGGTATAAGGTTCTAAGGATGTTTCATGTTTTTTTTTGACATCTACTAGTCAGAGTGTGCATCTACATTGACCATCATCAAAACACCTAGATCAACATATACATACAATGTGGCAAACCAAATAATAAAATTACCATGACTGGGAATAGTTGAAATCTGGACTGGCAATTTTCCGCTGCAACGTTGCACTTCTGTGCGCTCCCGGCAGGGATTGGACGTCGTGCTCTACAGGTCCTTCCTCCTGCACGGAATGATGACCCAGGATGTGGGGGTTGTGCCAGTGGGAAGTTATAATTATCCAATGTTCTGACACGCCCAAATTATATTATAATTGGTAATGAAACATGAAAAAAAAAATATATATATATAATTCTACAAATAATATATATATTATATAATTATACACCATTGAATCCCAGTATATCTCGATAAAACCAATATTATTTGTTGGATCAATCCATGTCAACCTCCATTCTTTGGGCATGCGACAAAGACTTCAAACATTGTTTTCTTTCCAGCCGAAAAAAATGGTTTAGGATGCCTGCGCAGGCTGCGCGACTTTCTGATCACCCCTTCGACTCGTTTTCGATCTCAACAGCAGGTATATCATGGACAACTGCACGTGTATCTTCCTTATATCGGGAATATATGAACAACAAAAGTGGTAACATATCATGTGGTTTATCATAGTGATAGTAATAGCAGCCAACTCAATATGGTATATGTGATAGACACTCAGGCCCACCCCAAATAAAAAGGGGAATTGGATTCCCGAATGCGTAGGCAGCAAATGTCGTTCTCGTTTTACTTTGGGGGTCTGAGTCTGGAGGTTGAAACGTGTTCGCTCGACGGTGCTTTTGTGTCCGCAACCGTCCGCAGCCGCCCGCAACCGTTCGCAAGTGTCCGCGAGCGACCGTCGTCCGGGCAACATGGCCTTGCCTATGACGAGTGCTGCAAAAGTGGTCACTTTTAGATGTTGCAAACGTCGCGCAACCTCGTCTCGTGTGGCAGGCACGGCTTGTGACATATTACAACATGTTTCATAACGTGTCAAAATTATGTCTGTGTGACAGGCGCAATACTTTTGCATCGTTTTCAGAAGATGATTTTCATTTTTGCCCGCAAGGCACACCACTTTGGAGACCTCCATCGTCATTTTGCGTGGCAGGTGCAGAATTATCAGAATTTTAGGCATGTGGTGTTGTGCATGATTTTGCGAATTCATTGCCAGGGCATGCGTGAAGCGTGACGACTTGCAAATCCACAGCAGGCGTGGCACTTTGCGGCATGTGATGAAAATTGACGGAAGCCTCGCACGAAACATCGCTTTTGATGTCGCTGATTTTGGGGTTCATGAAGAACTCGTAGGAAAACTTTGATTTTGGAGCTACAAGTGTTTAGAGCTTCCAGCATGTCTCGTCTTGATTCTCTATAGTGTTCCCGTGGCGTCGCCGCGCCTAGGGGGCAAGCTGCAAAACCTCTCATTCTTGAAGGTTTCAAAAGAGGTTGCGCTGTCGTTTTGCATGGCAGGCATGGCACTTGGTGACATTCTCCTGTGTCTGATGAAGTGTCGGCAATGGTTTTGTGTGACAGTTGCATCGTCTTCAGAAGATGACTAAGATGACTTCATTTTTGTGAAGCATTTTGGAAGTGTCCATCTTGATTTTGCATGGCCAGCGCTGCACTTTAGACGTGTCGTGTTGCGTGTTTTGCACGGTTGTCAGGGCTGCGTCAAGTGGTGACAACGTGCAAATTCCGTAACAAGCGTGGGATATCGTGAGAGTCTTCTTTTGCGTCGCAGGCGCGGCATTCGGTGCACATCCGGCGTGTGTGGAATACTATTTGGCGTGGCACACGCAGTATTTGGGACACTCTTTACACTTTACACACTTCACACTTCACACTCCACACTCTACACTTTATTCTTCACACTTTAGACTTGGCAATCCACACTCTACACTTTACACTTTGCACTCCACACTCTACACTGTACACTTTACACTCTTCACTCTACACTCTACACTTTACAGTGTACACTGTACACTGCACACTCTACACTGTACACTCTACACTATTCAGTTTAAATCTCACACTTTACACTTGACACTCCGCAATCTACAGATTGACACTCCACGCTCCACACTCTAAACTGTACTCCGTGCTCTACACTCTACATTATACACTCCACACTCTACACTTTACACTCCACACCCCACACTTTACACTTGACACTGCGCAGTCTACACTTTACACTACACACTCTACACTCTACCCTTCACACTTTACACCTGACACCCCACACACTACACTTTACACTCCGCACTCTACACTTTACGCTCCACACTCTACACTCTACACTTTACACTGTCCACTTTATACTTGACATTCTTCTACACTCTGCACTTTACACTTACACGCCGCACTCTACACTCTAGACTCTACACTTTGCACTTTGCACTTCAAACTTTATACTTTGCACTTCGCACGGGCGCAGGCGCTGACAAGAGCGAGCCATGCGTCCCGGCAACAATTCCGTGTCTCGTGCTGTGACACTGTTTGGTGCTGTGCTAGATTGTCACTGCACTTCCCAAAGCCATGGGCTTTGATGTGAGGAAAAAGGAAATCATTGTAGAAGCACCATACTGCCTCTCAGGAGCCCATGAAAACCTTTGCAGAAGGATCTGCTTGGAACACCCCCTGAGGCTCAGAGGCGCTGTTGGTAAAAACGTCTTCGCATGTAGGTGCACCTGTACGTGCTGTCGGCACATGTTGGGTGTCCCCGACATTCATGTTTCACACTGACCCGGTGCAGAGCCGCTGGCCGTACTTGGTCTCTGCCGCCGGCGAAGTGCTTCATCTGATCTGATCATCTGCAATCCGGTGCTCCAGCGTGCTCTCATCAAACACCATGTAAGCACACTGAATGAAATTCAAGCCTTGCTGCCGGAGTTCCAGTTCCGTCTGCGACAAAGAGCAAGGGCAGCATCCAAAGCCGCTACCAAAGACCACGCGCATATGGTCCACGAAGATCAGAGTCTTGCCATCGTGTGCTTTTCCACAATACTTGTAGTGTAGTGCAATGTAATCAGTGTAGTGTAGTGTAGTGTAATGTAGTGTAGTATGCGTATCGTAGTGTAGTGTAATGTAGTGTAGTGTAGTGTAGTGTGGTGTAATGTAGTGTATAGTGTGGTGTTGTGTAGTGTTGTGTAAGGTAGTGTAATGTTGGATGGACACTTGTAAAGCCCTTGCAATATAGCTGCAATTATTTTTCACAATCTCATTTTTGAGCCCCTATTGCCCTATTGATTTTAAATTAGGCTTTATTGATTTCAAATTACAGACATCAATCTTGGTCCAGAGCATCTGCAATAGTTGTGCTGCATCTGCAATAGCCGCAAATAATTTTCAGAAAAATCCCACACTATCAGATTTTCCAATACTAAATTGTCAAAGGGCTAATTGAGATTTAGTATGGATGCAGGAAAAACCATTACCAAACAGGTCCACAAAGGGTACCCTCTTGCAGGTCCTTGCATTCGCAATGAAAAATTGGAATTAGCACTTGCAATAAAAAAACAACCTTTCTGGCTCTAGTATGTTTTTCCTTTTTCCGCCTTGGTGTCTTTAATTGTGGTTGAATGGTCTTTAATTGCGATTGCATGCTTTTCAAAAGCAGAAAACAAAGCAAACCTTTACCACCTCAAAGACTTTACCTTGTTCAAAAGAGCTGCTTTCTTTTTGAAAACCCTTTTAAAAAATGCAAAAAACATGTGCACAAAGGGTACCCCCTGGCAGGTCATTGCATTTGCAATGAAAAATTGGAATGAGCACTTGCAATAAAAAAACAACCTTTATCTGGCTCCAGCTGATTTTTTCCCTTCTTCCTTATTTTTTTAATTGTGGTTGAATGGTTCTTAATCTAAAGAGAGGATTTGTCAAAACCTTACAGAAGCCCCGGGGAAGGGTTGGGATTTTCGATTTACTATTGCCAAGCAGACCCCTCTCCTTTAAAAAAAAAATAGTAAAATTTAGGGGGGCTCCCCTTTACTATTGCGGATCCAACATTAGTGTAATGTAGTGGTAGTTGTAGTTGCCAAGCCGCTTTGGTGGAATGCTCCACCACATCGAGGCCGAACTGCGTGCCGGCATTGGCCGGCCAGCGTGCCTTCTCGTTGCTGTCTCGCAGCATGGGCCTGTTCATCGGGAGGTTGTCGGAGACTGTGACGACGCCCTTGGCGAGAACGGCCTCTGCGCCTGCATCACCATCCCCCTGTGGTACCCCCTGGCGGGGGTCAAGCACCCTAAAAGAAAATATGATTTTTTACATTAAATCAGAAGTATCCAACCATGCAGGGAAAGCAAGAAAAACTGCCTGGCTGCCTCACAACTGCTACCAGGAAGGCACACTAATCCAGCAATCCCCGCAGACTATCACTACCACCCAAAAAATTACAACAAGATTTGAGAATAACGAGACCTACTGCGGACAGGTTCTCCACGTCCAGCTCCCTGCGCGTCGAGGGGGCCAGGTGCAGCCGCTTTGGCGCTGCTTTCGGCACTGCTTTATGTGCTGGCACAGCGGCGCCCAGCTTTTGCTTGGCCACCGGCGTGTGCAGGGGTCGCACGGCCCCGGCAAAGGCGCAGTCTCCGGCTTTGAAGGCAAGACTGCAGGACACCCCCAAAATAGCAACCATTCCGAGGAACTTTCTTGTACTGATTCAAGAGCGAGAGCCCATCTGCATCAATCAAACGTAAGCCTGGCAGCTGCCTGGCAGATGAGTCCGCTTTACACTCCACACTCTACACTTTACATTCTACACTTTACACACCACACCTTACCCTCAACACTTCACACTCCACCATCCCCACTTCGAACTTCATACCCTACACACTACATTCCCCCCTCAGCACCCCACTGCTGGCGGCGCTGCGGCATCGCACAATCATGCTCTGCCGAAGATACACGATGGGCTGCAGCCACGGGTTGCAACATCTATGAAGTGTTTCCTCTCTATATGTTTCGACATCTGTACAATTCATGTGAGCAGTCGGGTTCGTGGTGCATGTGTTTTTTGGCACTGCGACAATCTGCAGGAATTCCAGCAAAATAAGGTCAACATAATCCTTTCCCCATCATACTAAATCCTCCACCCTCTACCAAATAATAAACACTTCAGGTAATTTGTATCAGAGTGGTATTCATTATATCAACACCCTTTTTAAGGGGGGGGGCGTACCCAAAATGTCAGCTACATTTTTCGAGGTGTTTTTGAGGGGGGCCTTGCAATGTAAGCTTGCATTTTGAAGGTATTTCGACGACGCTCCCCACAAAAAAGACACCTGGGGGACGTTCAGCGACCAAAATTACATCCAAAGGGGGGTCCCCAAAAATGTATCTTACATTTTGGTATGGTCCCGAAAATTAGCCTTAAAGGGGTGGTGATTTTATTGTTAGGGTGCGAAGCTTCACCCCAATACTAAATTAAATACCCTAATATGAATTACTTTTGCTTCGAGTTGTCCCCACCATGGCATTTATACATTTTCTTACTGGCAAATCTTCTGGCATTCTATCTGACAAATCTTCTGGCATTTTATCTGGCATATCTTCTGGCATTCTATCTGGCATATCTTCTGGCATTCTACCTGGCATATCTTCTGCAATATGTTCTGGCATATCTTCTGGCACTCTATCTGGCACATCTTCGGGCATATCTTCTGACATTCTATCTGGCATTCTATCTGGCAAATCTTCTGGCATATGTTCTGGCAAACATTCTGGCACTTTATCTGGCATACCTTCTGGCATTCTATCTGGCATATCTTCTGGCATTTTATCTGGCATATCTTCTGGCATTCTATCTGGCATATCTTCTGGCATTCTTCCTGGCATAGTTTCTGGCATATCTTCTGGCACTCTATCTGGCATATCTTCTGGCATATCTTCTGACATTTTATCTGGCATTCTATCTGGCAAATCTTCTGGCATATGTTCTGGCAAACATTCTGGCACTTTATCTGGCATACCTTCTGGCATTCTATCTGACATTCTATCTGGCATACCTTCTGGCATATCTTCTGGCATTCTATCTGGCAAACATTCTGGCACTTTATCTGGCATATCTTCTGGCATTCTATCTGGCCATTGAGGTCCAGCGGTGCTCACTGAGCTCGGAGGGTCCCAGGTTGAGGTCCAGCGGTGCTCACTGAGCTCGGAGGGTCCCAGGTTGAGGTCCAGCGGTGCTCACTGAGCTCGGACGGTCCCAGGTTGAGGTCCAGCGGTGCTCACTGAGCTCGGAAGGTCCCAGGTTGAGGTCCAGCGGTGCCCAGTGCGCTCAGACCCTTGCAGTTGAGGTCCAGCAGTGCCCACTGCGTGCAGAAGTTGGCGAAGAGCTTGGCGAAGTGTTGGCAAGGCGGAAGTGAACATGGGAGTGGATGCAAAGGTGGGAGGAGAAGCTGGAGGAGAGGGTGGAGGAAGAGCAGAAGGAGGTGGAGGAGGAGGAGGAGCCGGAGGAGGAGAACGACTGTGATAAAATCTAACAATCCTCACCTGGCAGGTGGGGAAAAACTATTTGTTTCTATTTCAAAATCAATTATATAGATGTCATTTTAAAATCTAAAAAACATATTGCCAAAAATTGGATTCGAAGCTTTCCCCTAATACTAAATTAAAAATCCTAATATTAAAAACTATATTTTTCCATTTCAAACTTGATAAGAATTCCTTTTGAAATCTGATTAAAATATTGGCAAAAATTGGATTTCGGACTTTTCCCCTAATACCAAATTAAAAACACTCACTAATTAAAGGAAACACTCTATTTCAAAATCGATGAGATTTCCTTCTAAAGTCTAATTTAGATATTGCAAAAAAATGAATTCAAAGTTTTCCCCTAATATTAAACGTAAAACCTTAAAATAGAATACGTGTTTTCGACCTTAAAAGACGGACGCTAATTAAAAAACACCCTGGGGTTGACTAGTTTTTATTATCAGGGGGTGAAACCCAGAAATGGTAGCTTACTTTTTAATTCCATTGTTTTGTTTTCTAAAGGCAATCAATCAAAAATCTAATTGGCCAACTTCAATTTTTTCAGAAGTATTATTTGGGGGGGGCTTTATAGTAATAGGGGGAAGGGTTTAAGGACCTATGAGAAGTGCAATTCAGATCGCTCAAGTTGTTTTTTGACGTTTCCCGACAAGAAGGTTTATGAACTGATCCTTATCTTTGGAAAACTAAGGCACAGTTTGCTTATTTTGATTTCATTTTTTGGTGGGATACTTTTGGATGTTTATTTGGTGCTTATTATGGCCTTATTAGGGCCCTGCTCATCTCTCGAGTATTACAATGTTCCTTATTTATATTTATTTATTTAGGGGGAGGGCTTGGAGGGGCCTGAATGTCTATGAATATGGGGCACGGTCATCTCACCATCATGAATGGGATTCCTTACAATGGGTATTAATTAAGCACTATGAAAACTTGAAGGGATTACCATCCCGTTTTTTGACCAACCATGGCACAACTGGTTTCAAATGGGTTTGTGATCTAGCTGCAAACTTGGGTGATTATACACTCACATACCGCAACAGTTTGATTCTTGGGATGATGAACCAGTCACCGAAGTTGACTCCGATCTAACGTACTATCCCCACACAACACGGTCAAGCACCAAGCAATTTCCATTTGCCAACCATGTACCTTGGGGTAATCAAACGTGGCACCCATTTATAGTTAATTTTCCTATTAGAGCCACCACTTTAGTGGATTTCAGTGGATTTCCACTTGGCATGTTTGATTTCCAGATGGCATATCCCATGAATTATCACATTATCAGCCACTGTTAACCATTATCATTTACCAAACATAATCAACCCCTTCACTCATCCAACCCCATCCATAGGGCCCTTTCGAAAAGATTGGCTCAGTCACTCCTCGTCTTTCTTTCGCTCGATCTCCGCCAGGATCTTCTTCAACCTCGACGGGCGATACAGAGAAGTAAGAAATGGCAGAATGGAAACAGCTGATTTGAGATTTGAAACGATATGAAATGATTTGAGTACATGCTTATACATATATATATATATATAATATTAATATGTAAGAATCCTAGTGCAGAAAAAAAACAAACACACATGAACAAACACATTTCATCGGTTCATATTTTTCAGCTACTGAGCGCGCTGTTCTTGTCAAATTTCGGAATCATTTTTTTGCAATTTGTTCCCATTATGACCGTCAACAACCTATGAGACAGTGGAAATTGGTGGGTGCTGCGGGGTCTGCCGTCATAAAAAATTGCAAGGTGGGAAATCTGCTATACATGGGCATCTATAGATGGATGGAACACTCATCGAACTAGAGCCAAGGGATTTTCAATCAAACCATGTTTTGCATCGGATGACGTTGCAGAAGAATGTAACCAGGCATTGAGGAATGACGTCGCATATGCAAAAGTACTATACGAGTAGACTTGCGCCATGTGACGCCCTAACTAATACCCTCTGGTAATTTAACATAGCTATGGAAAATTGCACATTTATAGTTGATTTACCTATTAAAATGGTGATTTTCCATAGCTATGTTAATTTACCAGAGAATAAACCAGTTTGCGGTCATGAACCCCCTGGAACCCCCTGAAACCGATGAGGCGCTCTTCGTACCTGGCGCTTGCTCGGAGACTTGGAAGAGGTGGTTTTGGACCATGAGCTAAGGCTGGGTGGTGGTTGTCATCTATTTAAATGTTAATATTTGTTTTTCCCCAAACAATGTGTCCACACTGAAGGGTTCTTACAATAGATGTAAAGGCCGGTGCTTGGGGCCCGAGCAGTTTTCCTGTAAGTTTCCGTAAAAAGTGGCTCTTGTGACATGTTCAAGTGCATTTCAATTGCGCAGGCTCGCACAAAGTGTGGTCCGTGGTCCTGGCGCGGCACTTTTCCTGTAAATTTCCGTGCAAAATGGCTAGTGCATTTCGACTGCGAAGCCTCGCACGAAGTGTGGTCCTGGGTTCTGGGCCGCGGCATTTTTCCTGTAAATTTGGATATAAAGTTGCTCTTGTGAAATGTTGAAGTGCATTTCGACTGCGCAGGCCCGCACAAAGTGTGGTCCTAGGTTCTGGGTCGCGGCATTTTTCCTGTCAATTTCCATATACAGTGGCTCTTGTGAAACGTTGAGTGCATTTCGACTGCGCAGGCCCGCACAAAGCGTGGTCCTAGGTTCTGGGCCGCGGCATTTTCCTGTCAATTTCCATAAAAAGTGGCTCTTGTGAAATGTTGAGTGCATTTCGGCTGCGCAGGCTCGCACAAAGTGTGTGCCCAGCTTCTGGGCTCGGGCACTTTTCCTACACCTCATCATGCTCAACATCATCACCCTACACCGCATCATCCTCGACATCATCATTCTCAACATCATCATTCTCAACATCATCACCTTCCTCCCCCTTGACATCATCATCCTCAACAGCATTATCTTCCTCCTTCTCAACATCATCAACCTCCACCTTATCATCCTCAACTTCATCTTCCACATTATCATCCTCATCCTCATCCTCCTCAACGTCATCATCCTCCACCCCATCTTCCGCAACAACATCCTCCTCCACCGCATCTTCCGCAACATTATCATTCTCAACATCATCGTCCGCAACATGTTCATCCTCCTCCTCCTCCTCATCCTCCTGCTCATCATCATCATCATCATCATCATCATCACCATCACCATCCTCATCATCATCATCATCACCACCATCACCATCAGCATCACCATCAGCATCAGCATCAGCAGCATCATCACCATCATCATCATCACCATCATCATCGTCATCATCATCATCAAGACCATCATCATCATCATCATCATCATCATCATCATCATCATCATCAAAATCATCAGCATCATCATCATCTCCATCATCATCATCATCATCAAGACCATCATCATCGTTTTCATCATCATCATCATCATCACCATCATCAAGATCATCATCATCATCAGCATCAGCATCATCATCATCATCATCATCATCATCATCATTGTCATCATCATCATCATCATCATCATCACCATCATCATCATCATCATCACAAAGATCATCATCACACAGATCATCATCACAAAGGTCATCATCACAAAGATCATCATCACAAAGATCATCATCACCACCACCACCATCATCATCATCATCCTTATCCTCATCATCATCCTCATCCTCATTCTTATCCTCATCCTCATCCTCGACATCATCCTCAAGATTATCCTACATTATCCTCCCATTCCCCTACACTGTTTGGGGTCTCTTGCCGGGATAATTTGATCATGGTTTATCAGTTGATCTGTGGGAAACAATGTGTGTTATCTGTTCGTACATGTTGAAAGTTTACTCTCTCCCCATTTCCCATCAACAAAACATGTATTTACGGTAAATTAATGTAATTAATGTAAATGATCATGGTATTTATCACGTATTATTATCTATCTCCCCATTGGTATTCTCAATACCTGTTAACCGTTTGAATAAAAACACCACGGCGACGTCGCATCCCTGGGGCACTTTTTTCGGACCTCAGCGTTGCGAGGCTCGATCCTGGCGGAAAAAACCATGGCGGATGTAGGGGGTGAAATCATTGTGGTGTGGAAAAGACAGACAGCTGCTACAGTATATATATATATACTATACATACATATGTATGTGTATAATTGTGTATATATCTATATACATGTATGCATTTAATCTAATGATCCATGAGATGCTCATCCGACTGCATCCGGAAGTTGAAGTTGCACAAAAGGGAAGTTGCCTATTTTTCACCAGGAACAAGGGACTTTACATTAGCACATTCTATCCGAAGCAATGTCAATGTTCAATTCAGAATGTCGTAGTTTTAAAGAAAACCGTATCCACTATTGGATTGGTGCTGAGATGCATTCCGGCTGCCATTGTTGGTAAACCAATATGATTGATCATGGTTGACATTGTTTGATGATGTTTCTTCGTGATCCACCGTAGCAATGTCATCTCGTGACACATCTGCAACATACATCGCTCCTCACAGCCCTTTGCAGATCGTTGGCTGCAGCCTCAACATGGGTTTCACCATGGAAATGGCTAGGTTTTGGAAAAATCGAGACTGGAAACCAGGTTTTCTACCATGAAACTGTATATGTATATAGGGTATTCCTGCAGTTTTTGCATCCAAATTCAAGGACAATATGGAAATTTCATGGGAGATCAACAAACCATATAATAGAAATCAATGATGGAAGATTAAACACATACACAAACTGGGACCACCAAAAGCGTGGACTTAACTGAAAAAATATGGTTTAATTTTGAGAAAATAAAATGGTGAAGTGAATGGGCTGGTCTGACAGATTAATACATATCAACTCTCAGCTGGTTATATAGTTTATGTCTGTGTATGTTCCCCAATTCTTGCAAAACAACAAACTCTCACTTGGGCTTACCCAAGTTTGTGCGAACATAAACCAGCCATCATTAGAGCTTTAAATTCCAATTTGAACTCCTTTTGTTGTTGTTGGGTAATGGATACCCTAGTATAATTGCTCAATTTCCAAATGGTTTTGTCTGAAAATAATGTATCCCTAGATCCATTGGTTAATCATCATGGTCATGTTCCCTATCAAAATCACAATTTCGGGGGTATGCCCCATGTTCAGACGTGCCAAAATATCATGTTGATGAAATATGTCCCAATAAATCCCGTCAAATCCCATAAATTCCTCAGTTGCTTAAATCCCATTAACCCCCCCAATAAATATATAAAACATGGTGTTTCTTGTTCAATGGTTCAATATTTCATTAAATTAAACCCCTATAAAAGCATCATATTTGCCAGTTAAATCCCACTAAATCTCATGAATTCGTCATTAATATAACAATTAAAACACTGTATCTGCTGGTCAAAAGCTAAATCCCATTCAATCTCCATGCCCTCGCTCCCGCGCCTGCGTCTTGCCTAAGGCTTCCTGCGCAAGTCCGCGGCGGTAGAACGCCTTTGCATTCTCCTGGTCCACTTTCAATGCTTGGGTGCTGTGCATGATCACTGGCTCGTAGGCCTCCAGGTGCTGAGTCAGCATCTCTAAGCCGTGTCTTCTTGGGGTGGCAAACAGTGGAACGTGTCGACAATGTCTGATATTTGCCATTTGTGAAAGACGTGGGTCAGCACATGGCAGTTCAAAATAATACAACTTGAAAATACAATATTATTTAATCATGCTGAACTGGTGAAGAACTTGATTCGACACATCAATAGCTCATTATGTTAGCTCCATACATTATATATATATTATACACACTTTGATGTGCACAGAAAATCGAAAACAAACAGTGTACATCTACAGTACTTTGAGTTGTGCCCTTGGCCCGTCGCCAGACCACGCCTTGAGTTGAAGACATACTTGGGCCAAATTCAAATGCAAACCTTGGCTATGCGGCAAGCAAAAAGCCAGTTCGCAGCCAATGCAACGTCTTCAAGCAGGGGAACTTGTGACTGGTGGTCAGCTGTCCCAACATGGAAGCTTTACAGTGTTTTTTACAAGCTATGTAAACATATATATATATGTGTTATATATATATATATATGTACAGTATGTGTATATATATATATATACATGATAAACACATATTATATAGAACATGATATGCATACTTATATATATAATCTTCGAAAGGACACAAATAATTGTCCGTTTGCAAGATTTCTGCCCTTAGGGCGGATTTCTTGTGAAGGAGCTGGAAATGGTCATTTTTTGACTCCTGTGGTCAATTTTGGATTTCGTACCTTCTGGGCTGATTTTGCTCTACTTTGCGTAAAAATGTGTCGATTTTTCTGGGCGGAAATGCCCGGGAAAAGGGCGGAAATACCCGGGCAGACTCAACACGACTTAAAAATGAAAACATGATGTGGTATGATGTGGTAAGTTTTTTCTTGAAATGGTAATTTATTTTGGAATGGTCAAATTTACAAAACATGGACAGAAATCAAACCAATATCTGCCCTGGAAAGAAATTTGTAACCAATGAATATCCATATGTTAATATACACTAAATACATCTAAATACACAGAGTCAGTTTGCAATCCTCCAATATGTGGCCCTTTTTAAGGAGCACTTCCAGGAGACTGAGTCTATGGGAGCCCGAGCCCTCCCAATGTATGTACCATGGTCATCTATCCCATGTTCGGAATCCAGACAGAACATTACATAACTAACATATATATATATATCATATATCATATATCATCATATACCCTCTGGTAATTTAACATAGCTATTGAAAATGGCACCTTTATAGTTGATTTACCGAACTTAAAAATGGTGATTTTCCAGATTCAATGGATTCAATGGATTGATGATTCCCATCAGATTTCCCATCCCCTTTATGGGAATCTCTTGCAGCACGTTTTGACCATGGAGCTCATCAAGTGCCGCGCCATCGGGGCATGGCAATCGTCAGGGATCAGCTGCAATGCCTGCGTGGGGGAGAAATCCTCAGGGATGACCCGTTGTCAGGGATCTCCTCAACATTTCTTAAAGGGAATATCATGGGGATCTTTTCTCGGGATATCATGGCCATATAACCATCAAAAGGTAACTCTCAAAAGTGGAGGTTAATCCTCAAACCACCAATAGTGAACCACTTACCCCCTGAAACAATTGTAAATGAGACCAACATGGCCTGGCACTTGCCTGGTACTTGCGTCCATCCGGCGATTGGGATTACCAAACTATGCCATACGCTGCATTTTTCGTCATCACAGAGCCTGTGATGGCAACTTAGGTTTTGGCACATATACTGTACACAAATAAAGTCACCATTTACCTGTTTACTTTTATACATTTATAATTTATAATCAATAATAATTATATACACATAATTGTACATATCACCTCTCTATTGAGTTTGCACAGCACTAATGAACTTCAGGATTCTTATCCAGCCTAAGGCACATCTTTTCAAAGTCCCAGACTGAACTTTTTTTCGCTACCATGAGTCGCAGCTTGTCTGGTCACATGGCAAGTATCTGCTCAGAGTCAGCAAATGGTTTCGAGCTTTTCCATTCTTCCAGCCCTTCCTATTTGGCATTGTGAATCTTCAACTGAAAACACATATCTTTTTTATAACATGCCTGCACAACACACCCAACCCGCTTGGTGCTGTTCAACATGTTTAACCACCATTATTCACCATTATTCACCATTATTCACCATTATTAACCATTATTAACCACTATGAACCACTATTAACCACTAATTATTCACCATGTTGGATCTTTGAAACCTCCAATTTCTGGCAGCCACGTCTCCGCGGGGATCCATCAACTCCACAGGCGACTTTTCCGGCGGTTTTCTTCAGACGGGACACGTCATGAAGAGTCACGAAGACACCGAATCGCTGCGCTGAAATCCTGAAGTTTGTTTGTTTTGAGTCACCTTCTGGAAAAAGATGAGATCCAAATGATATGTACAGATTTGTGTTTCTTTCCACCCACTGGTGAGGAGGAAAATGCACTGAATTTCGAGCGAAACCTTCGCAAAAGTCATATGGGTCATCTGTGTGACAGATTCTGCCCTGCACTATTGAGGTTCCCGTTGTAGGATCAAATGCAACGCTTTCCCAAATGCTATGAATAAGCATGACTCGAACATCTATTCAAGACATGTCCAAAGATTTCATCATATACATTATATACACTGTACACATACAGGATACATTTTTGATATATATATATCTATATACACATACATTTTATGTACATGTATGTGTTTGATAAATACATATATATATATATACATATATATATATAAATAGGTGTGTATATATATATATATATATCATGCATGGATGGATGGATGGATGGATGGATGGATGGATGGGTGGATGGATGGATGGATGGGTGGGTGGGTGGCTGGATGGCTGGATGGATGGATGGGTGGGTGGCTGGCTGGGTGGCCGGATGGATGGATGGATGGGTGGCTGGATGGCTGGATGGATGGATGCATGCATGTGTGTACGTATGTATTTATACACGTAGGCACGTTGCAGGTCTGTGGAGACGTAGCACCACAAGATCTTCAGACACAACTATACGTAAGTTTTCTTGTTTAGCGAACATCAGCACCAAGCTGCATGATAATCATGACATTAAAACAATGTTATTTCATGGGCTAGTTATGGGTCAAACATTGGAGACCCAGGTGACCCGATCATGCAGCTGCAAAAACATCATGGATAGAGTTTTGGTAGGCTTTGGTTTGTTATGACCAGCCTGTAACTGTGAGTTGAGTCACTATGAAACATCCACGAGCTTAAAAGACTCTCGCTGCCCAGTAGTACCGCTGCCTAATTTCTTGTGAAGGCTTCACATCTGCAAAATTGCATCTCGAAGCAATAGCAGCTGGCATGGACAGCTACAACGGATGTCAGTTGGTGGCTTTCACTGCAATCATCCCAAGAGTCGAAGGGCGGACCGCAGCCAATCAAGGCTAGCAACGTCACTCATGACAAGTCGTATTTACCAGCTGCGTTACATGAACAGAATCATATATCTCCCCTTGGAAAGTCACGCTGCAATTCCGGCTAAATTGGCTAACGACTAACGACCAAAAAGTATGCTTAAAATCAACTGTGTTAGGTCACTTGAGATGATTTCACCTACAAAATAAACAAACAAACAATGCGCCCATAATTTGCAGATTCGCCCAAGCCATGGGCCATGGCACAAGGAAATCATGTTTTGGATAATTTTAGGATGTTCCATCAGGTACGGCACGAACTGGTAGCACTATATTAACCAGCCAAGGTTGAAGTACCCAGATAGGCTTCGCATTGCCAAGAAGCACTCGCAAGTTGACGATCCTGAAATATCCTAAAATGAACCAACATCTGTGGTTCTTTAGGTCTTCAATTTTGACTCAAGTCCATATGGTAGACTCTGAGCGAACCGGCTTCACTGCAGAGTGGTCTGGACATGAACTTCATACCCAATCATCTCCCCACGTTTTTCGCTTAAAACCAACTTTTGTTGGTTCAACGGTTAAACAGTTAAACATCTCAAAATCGTTAGAAGCACCCAAAAACTCATTAGTCGAAGCACATTTTGTGCGTTTAAACTTTTAAAAAATAAAAAACAATTCTCCAATGTTCACCATGTTGGTTGCTTGAAGTCCCACCACGGTTACTTCCTTGGTACCTCCGAAATGTGTGGTGACGTGGTGCCTGGGTTTTCACGCCCGACATTGCACCACGGCGAAGCATCGCCGTGCCGCGATGCTCAGAGCTTTGAGGGACCTGCCGGGGATTTATCGAGAGCATTAAAAAGTTGAGCCTGACCCCGCCTGGTGGTGTTTATTGGTTTATTAAAACCCCATTAAGTATAGCAGTTATAAGATGTTATAAGTATATATAAGTATCATAAGACCATAGTTGCTATTTACTATAGTTATTTAGTTAGCTTATATAATTCCCATTCAAAAATCGTGGGTGACCAGCAAGGAAAGTGAAGCTAGGTCAGCAGTAGAGGTAATGTCAGCACCAGGTCTGAGGGCGCCACTGGTGCCCCCCAGTTCTGCTGATCGATGGTACCCCATCTGGCTGATTATATATATATGTATATATGCAATAAAATATAATACTTTGTGCATTACATAACCTATCTATCGATCGATCTATCTATCTACCCACTTAGACCCCAACTTAGCTAAGAAACCTGGGCAACAAACGTGACGTATGGACACTTAAGCAGCAGCAGTCTTCCATACCCATCACGCTGGGGCCTGCCACAATTCTCAGGGTTGAAGCATTCCACAGCCTCGGTCCCGGATGCCAAGGTGTCAGCATCTCAGGTGGATTTTGGATCCGTGAGAGGATTTCGATTTGTTGTGTTTCGACTTAGTTACTAGTTTTACGGTATTTTTAGTTCATTCCCCCAAAAGATTCAATGAAAACCACAGATATCCCCGGATGATCCAATATGAAACTTTCCCCGATCGCAACATCACCGTTGAGTTGCGGGGGTTGAAGCGGCGTGAACCACGCATGTGTAAGCATATGTAAGCATCTACTAGGCGGCTTTACTGGATATGCTGTTAGGCCCTTAAAGAAACGTTAAAAATTAAAACTAGTTTCTGCTTGTAGTTTCAGGCCTATACGTGTTGACTGCTATGGTTTCCAAAATATTTCTTGGTTTTGGCATTCTCAACGATGTTGACCCATAACCCCGACAAAATCTTGCCTTCATCTGCTAAGAAACCACCGAACCATCTTTGTTTCCGCCGAAAATGTAGAGCTTGCTGCGACTACCTGGCACTGGTGGTTCGACAAACATCCATAGCTCAATGGCCAAGCTTGGAATGGCACAATGCACCATAAGGGAAGACATATCCACTTGAAAAGTGAAATTCCAAACTGCTTCCAATCCTTTTGCATTTCAGACATTAAAGGGGCTTGTCTCACCTCATCTCCTCATTTGTGCCATGGGCAAATCACCTAAATGACGTTTAATAATTAAAGTCTTGGGCACTATTCACATAATCAGTGTATGACACCCATGAATCATTGGCCAACCCTACATACCCCGTAACCGTTGGTGTTTTTTCAATGGCTGAAAAATATATCCGTGACCCTGCCATGCACCAGCAACTAGAGAACCCAACCCCAAGTTGTAAGCAGGTCACATTGGGCTATAGGGAACGATATCTGGCAAATGGATGTTCATCCCGGCAAGTGGCTTTATTTCAAGGAATTTCGATAAACTGTATATAGAGTATAGTATATATATATATCAGAAGAAAATAATAACAACAACAATAGTAGTAGTAATAGTAATGAGATATATATATATATCTTATATCCGCACCTCAGCGCATCATCTTGTTAAAAAAATACTTCACTTCGAATGATCCCCACCATGGCATTTATACATTTTTTTACTGGCAAATCTTCTGGCATTCTATCTGACATATCTTCTGGCATTCTATCTGGCATTCTATCTGGCATATCTTCTGGCATATGTTCTGGCATATCTTCTGGCATTCTATCTGACATATCTTCTGGCATTCTATCTGACATATCTTCTGGCATTCTATCTGGCATTCTATCTGGCATATCTTCTGGCATATGTTCTGGCATTCTATCTGGCATTCTATCTGGAAAATCTTCTGGCATTCTATCTGACACATATTCTGGCATTCTATCTGGCATATCTTCTGGCATATGTTCTGGCATATCTTCTGGCATTCTATCTGGCAAATATCTTCTGGCATTCTATCTGACATATCTTCTGGCATTCTATCTGGCATATCTTCTGGCATTCTATCTGGCCGTTGAGGTCCGGCAGTGCCCACTGCGATCTGGAAGTCGCGGTTGAGGTCCGGCAGTGCCCACTGCGATCTGGAAGTCGCGGTTGAGGTCCGGCAGTGCCCACTGCGATCTGGAGCTCGCGGTGGAGGTCCGGCAGTGCCCACTGGGATCTGGAGCTCGCGGTGGAGGTCCGGCAGTGCCCACTGGGATCTGGCGCTCGCGGTGGAGGTCCGGCTGTGCCCACTGGGATCTGGACTGCGAGGAGGAGGAGGACGAGGAGGAGGATGCGGAGGCGGAGGAGGAGGAGGAGGAGGAGAACAACAACCCTCACCTGGCAGGTGGGGAAAAACAACATCTCCATCTAATGCTTCCACCACCCCGGCTTCACCCAAAACAGGCGCACATGCGGCACTCACCGTGCCACAGAGCTGAAGACACGGCAAGGCCTGGCACATGGGGTATCAATGGTAGTTTAACCAACAGCAACGGCTGTATAATGGGGATATGATGGAATACGGAATATCAACTAATATATCAACCATCTATGTTTGGGAATGATCATGAACAACAGTTTGCTATGAGATATCACGATGTTTACATCATATGCCAATCATCTATATATGGAGCATTTTAGCTATGTCACATTGCCAGAGGAATTCCCAATATTCAGCAACTAAACCCAAGCACCCTTACGTCACCAAACTAAATTTCAAGTGTCCAGCTTGCAGAGCGTTGTTGAGTACTACATCGCTCATTTTGCACAATATATCAGGCAACAATCCTTCTGGTGATTCCCAGAATAATTTAATCAGATGGTCCCCATGAAACTGTGCCTTTTCAACAAGGAAAACAAGGCTCCAACTAATAGGAATGGGAATGTAAAATCACAGAACATCATGCAATCTGATATATAATCTGATGTATATAATATATATATATATATCTTATATATATATATATCTTATAATATATTATATATATATATCTTATATATATACATATATCTTTCAAGAACCTCAAGCTATATCACCAAGATACAAAAAACAGGCTCCAACAGTTTTGTCACCAAATCAACCAACAGTTTTTCACCGAGCTCCTGCATCGGCCAGAGAGGATGTATGGGGAATATCCAGTGATGGTTCAAACAAATGTGCCTGAACAAATAGGGAACATATATATATATAATGTCTATTTATATATATATATATATATTAAAATACACTATCGTGGTTTGATTATTAGTGAACAGCATTTTCTGGAGGTTTTCCAGGAAGATATTTGTCAAATAGACTGTGATATTTTGAGACATGATTGGTACCCTATTCTCAGACACATCTACTGATGATTATCTGAGATATAGGGAAGGACAAAATTGGGTACACCACAATCTCATGGCTAATCATTCAACCAATCATTCAACCAATCATCACTTAAATTCTTCCTAAGAAGAAGTTTTAATGGAACCCCCTTAACAACAGCATCTTCGTGGCTCCCAACCTTCCATGGGCTCCCCAAATCATTTGGGATGGGACCCAGCTGGAAATGGGACATCCCAAGCTGATGCAGGACGCAGGACTCTCTCTCTATATGAATATATATATATATACATACCTGGTTGGTGGTTTCAACCCCTCTGAAAAGTATTAGTCAGTTGGGGTTACTATTCCCAATATATGGAAAAATAAAAAATGTTCCAAACCACGATATATATATATAGCAATTTATATCAACTTGTTCACTGCCATGTTTCATTGCCAGAGGCTATCTGATTCAAAACTCAGAACTCCCTGAGCATCAAATATTCTCTGTTTACCAAATTCGAAACCCGGAATGCATCCCATTTTTGGCTCTGCGCATTGGCTTCGTACAAGACTGTTTCAATGCACCGAATCCTGGTTTGCAAAATCAGAAATACAAGAAAAACTCCTGAACCATTAAAAAAAAAACAGAAATGGCTGACCAAGCCGTTCAACTCTTTTGAGTTTTTCATTCATTTGGTTTCCAAGTCAGTCACAAACAACAAGTTCAAAATTGTCTCAAAGTAAACTGCCAGGTCAATTATACCAAACAATGGTTTCGAGGTCTAAAGAAAACCATCGTAAAACGCCAACTTTGGCGGCGAATGTTGCGGCTTGGGAGCAACATTCGCATCCAAGAAACCACTTTTCGCGGCTGGTTGATAGGGATCCCTAGAATGGATTATGATCATCCTGAACAGACAAAGGATACAATGCCCCTTATGCCCGATGTTTAATCAGCAAAGAACAATTGCTGGTGACATAACATATCCCATTTCAACTCCATCATTGCATTCCCATACATGTTACCTGTAAAATGGTTGTAATTTTAATCATCAAACACCGAGGTTTCTGTTGAAACTGTTCCAAGTATAGATGCGCCACTCTCACGGGTGAAGTTCGTGAAGCTCCTGAAGCTCCTTCCGAGTCAGATCTGGAGGAAGATCCGATGCATCTTTTGAGTAGACTCTGGCAGATTTCTTTTCGGATTATATGATAAGTTCCATGTTTTTGTCTGGAAATGGGGGGGTTATGTCAGTTATGTATCTTGGAATTGATAGTAGTTGATCGTGGGAAGCATGATTAAAACGCAATGGATGGAATTCGCTACCCTATCTTCAAACAAGTGACAAATGCTGAGGCTTGAACAATGACATTCGAACCATTCTGCAGGATCCCTATTTTTCTGGTAGAGGATTACAGTATAGAAGGCTTGTATATGGCTCTACATATAGTGTGTATATATATATATATACACCCTCTGGTTATTTAACATAGCCATGGAACATGGCCCATTTATAGATGGTTTACCTATTAAAAATGGTGATTTTCCATAGCTATGTTAAATAACCATATGGTATATATATATAAGGAATTGGGATTTGGGGATGCCCAATGGGAATTGTATCATGAGATTTTGCGAATTGACCGGTACCCGGTTTCCTGGAGAAGTGGGGTGATGGAATTTCCAGGTTTTGGAGGGACCCAGGGACCCACAACAAGCTTTCTCTCACCGGGTATGACGTGTTCAGAATCTACATGTTTGTTCTATATATTCCAAGTAAGGCTGCCATCACTAACAAGAAAAAGCCTTGAAGTTTCCAAATGCCGATAAACATGCAGAAAGTCAAATATCTGCTGGGAGATCCAAAATCTTGACCCTTCCAAAAAGAACCAGGCCGCGCTGAATCTGGGGACTGAAATAGACAACCCTTGTGGCGCACCATGGCTAATTTTCGATCACTCCTTGAAGATATTTTCTGTGGGCTACGTGATCTATATTAATCAGTCTATATTAATTAATCTAAATTAACCTATATTAATCTATCTGTAATGACAAAATAAGTAAATTCCCTCCCTCCATATTTAAGGTTCAAACATATTCACAAATCCATAAACCAACCAAACCCAGGTTTACCCAAAGATGTTCCGTGAGCAGCTGTTCGATCAGACGGGCTGCTTTTTGTTTCTAGTCTACAAGAAAGCCAGCTCCCAGCTATAAATGGGGTGCTTTCCCCATCACTCCACTTGGGGGTTCCTTCCAATGCAGTCATCCAAAATTGGTTATGTCTAACGGGGGAGCCAATGCTTTGGGTCCCGTTAACCTGTCCGAACTGAGCCCACTTACAACTGGAAATGATGGCTTTATGGTACGACAAAGCCAACTTTGTTGGCTTTCAAAGGTTTCATGAACTGCCACAGCTGCTCAACAGCCTTAGCTATTGCATCTGGTCATTGCAGATATCGCATTAGCACAAAAGCACCAGCACTCACATCACAAGGGGGTTGGATTATTATACGAGATAGTGCCACGCGAACGAGCTTCATCCAATGATATGGGGACGACATGGCTAAAAGATCTGCAAACTATTGCAAACTTATGGCTCCATATTAAAGCAAAACAACACAGACTGACACAGATTTCACTTCCTGTTTGAATACAAATGGGGAGCGGTCAAGAATGGGTTCTAAAAATTGAGCCCCGGTGTTCATATGTTGCCTTTAAGCAGTTGGGGTTCTTGATTGGTATAAGCACGATAAGTGGACCACTGTGAGCCACCGTGAGTTCGGATATAGCCCCCATAACTCCCATAACTATGGTCAAATATAACCACTTCGTTCACTGGAACTGCACAAGCAGACTACGTCTAAACATCATTAAACATCATTAAACATCCCCTTTTGAGGGGTTATTTAGGTCACAAACGCTGATGCTTTAGCCCAGTGATATTTAGCTCGACCTCCCTGCCATGTGCTCGACATATCAGGTGCCACAGAGAAAATGGTCATCGTCCGAAAGCGGGCTGTGGAGTCACAACTGATTTTGGAGAGCCACACATTTGATTACATCCATCATTAACCACCATTAATCAAGCATGATATCCATGATATCCATGATATCTATATATATATACTAAGTTGATTACATTATTTGGATGGCTTTTAATTTATGAAAGGGAGCTTGAGCCACTTGTAACGGTCAAAGTCAAATCATTGTGCGGCCATGTCCATTTGGCTTCAAGGCCATTAATCATGGGCCCTAAATTCGAAAGTTAACATGTTCCTTTGCAACGACTCCTTGTTCCCCTGGACTTTTCACACTGTTTCTTCATCCAGTTGGTTGACAAGTCCTCTGCTGCGACACCACTTGGAGGAATTGTCCACCAGGAAAGAGAACTAGAGGCTACAATATATGGAGGTTTCCTAAGTTACTAAGTCATGGGGGGTACCACAAATCATCCAAGTCACCATGACGTAGTATTGAAACAACCATGGTGACTTTGGGGTACCCCGTTTGAAGAAACCCCCAATGTTAATTGCATATATATATAATTAACAGATTACCCCATGTTCTCATATATATTATGTTATCTAATCTCTCATCAATATCAAGTTATTATTACATTGTTGTTAGATATTGTTGGTATTATTAGTTGCTACAATAGTTACTATAATTGTCACTATTGCAATTAGATCGAGGGCTCCTAAAATGAGGGTACCCGAAAATCATCCATATGTATCATATGTATAGGAATATATATATATATATATTGTTGGTCGGCAAAGAAAGCAACCGTCTACCTTGAAATTTGGTCATGAGCCACACAGCTATCAGGGCGGTCAGCGTGAAGCCAAAGCCTCAGGGACAACCTTGGACTGCAGGACAAACCATGGTGAAACATGATGGTTTAACCAGGGAAAATTGTGGTTTGATGGGTCGCAAACAAAAATGATGGTTTGTTTACGGGATCTAACGCTAGTTTGATAGGGACACCAAGAGATGTTTTATTCGTGCTTGGATGTGATGGTAATTGTTTATCCATCAATAAATAATTAGGCATCTAATGAATGGAACAAACAGTTGATACCCTCTGGTAATTTAACATAGCGAACTGGAAAATCACAATTTTATAGTAAAAAACAACTATTTCTATGGGCTTTTTGTTCAATAGCTATGTTAGTCATTACCAGAGGGTACTGTATCCATGAAAAATTGCAGGGTAGACCAACGTTTCAATGTTACCCCATCACGGGATAACCGAACAAAAATTAATCACCCAGCTGAGCCTAATTAATCAAAATAGACTGGGCTTGCCATTACCCCCAAAAAAACACATTTTGAATTTGGTATTATACTAAGTTTGAGGTGGGTGCACTAACAAATCCGACGCGGAACACTAACTCTGACTTTTCTTGAACAAACATTTTTCCTTTTTTTACGATATCATGTTTTGGTTCCATCTACCCCTGGAAATGTTGGTACTGTAATTCTCTGAGGATCTCTGAGGTATGTATTAAAAGCAATTGTTGGGAAGGAACAAAGGCCCTCATCAGTTCCCACATACTTCACCATCACCCTCCCTTGGATTATCGATCATGATCCTTTGGAATGGAGGGCACATCGTATATCATGTTCAAACAAACTCATACGGTCGGTTGCCTGGAATCCCCCACCCCAAAATCATCACACAAAACGGTCCATTCTTTTTTCATGCGGAAAATCACTATAGTTTTTGTGGGATCAGAAAACTCCCATGGAAAATCACCATATTCCCGGTGGAAACCCGAACACCGCACAGGATTCCACAGGATTCCACAGGATTCCAGGGATGTTTTCGCCAAGGCGCCAGTTCAATCTCCTGTTCCCGGCGTGTGGCGCGGCCATGCGCCACGTACGCCACATCCTTGGTGACGTCCTTCAAGCGACGAGCGATCTTCACCTCGAGGACGAAAAAAAGGGGGGCTTGACCTTGGGGAGATCAATGGGGATATTTTTTGCACCTCAAATACATAAATACATCATAAATACATAAGTAAATACATAAATAAATATATGAATTTATAGATAAGCACATCATGACACTTAAATATATTGCAGTACATCACGATTCTCTTATTGTGCTAATGGTGATACATATATATATATACAAATATATATATATATACATATAATCATGAGTATCATGTACCTGGAAAATACCGTAATCACGACAAACATGGGGATATTGATCAACTGCCAACTACAAGTATGGTGATAGGTCAAACGGTCAAACATGCCTTTAAAATAGTTCCCTCATCATCCCTCATCATCCCCAGTCAATGGGCCTGGGCAATCCAAGAATGAGTGGCGGCCCCTGGTATCAAGTTGGATTGATCAACTTGGATCATCCTTCTAGGAAACAAACTCAGCTGCATCACTTTTGATCATTCAGCTGCAACTGTTTTTTATTTTTTTTTCTCATGAAACATTTTTTTTAAGCACGGCACAGATTGGTGGCCACTTGGGGGCAGTCGCAGTTCTAAGTGGAAATAATCATACTCACAAGGCCCATATCCCAACCTGTGCGGGCTATATACTGCCAAAATTAAAGCCATTTATACCCCCAACTGCACCCCCACGCACTACTATACCCCCCAACTCCGACCCCCACTACTCCCGTTGCCGCACCGTCTGTTGTTTGGTACCGCTGTCTTGAAAGAAATAGAAGACCAGCAGTGACTGGAACACCAAGAACAGAAGACCTGAGGTAGTTGCCAGCCGTGATGCGTACCAACTGCTTATCGGCTATTGTATACAAACTTAATTTAGGTACAAGACATAGTCTCTGTAAATAATTTGTCGACGTGTCTGAAAATGGGATATGAATGAATAGGATATTCATGGATACTAAATTGTTTTTAATGTGATGAAACCAAAAAGTAAAAGTCTACATATAAAACCATAAGCGAAGGCAATGGGGGTATTAATCATACAAGGGTATGTTATTGGGATATATAGCCATACAGCCATGACGGGAATGGTGTGATGACAATGTGGTGCTGTTTGGAATCACTGAATCGTTGTTGAGTTTCTGGTGCCCTCCGGTAGTCAAACATGGCAATCGAAAATTGACCATATATAGTTGATTGATGTTGATTGTCCCATTTAAACCTCCCTTTATAGGGGATTTCCCATTGTCATGTTTCAGTACCGGAGGGTATCAAACACTAAAGTTTGGTTTTCAACATGTAAAACAAACACCAGAACAACCCGGTAGAAATGACCCCCTCAAATATGGTTGTAGACCAAGCTAGCCTCTGGCTCCACTATTTCAACTAGCTCTTCTGCTGTCCATGTTCTGTTGCGCCGAAGGGATTGGATCGTCCCCTCTTGAAACACCTCGCAACTCAGCCCGGATTAAGATCCGGATTAAGATCCAACATTCAAAAGAGTTTCTAAGTATTTAACATTATTTAACCAGAGTGGGATGGGTTTTAATGATACTCTGCAGTACAAACCATGCAAATTTAGGAGTAACTAATTAGTCTTGAACCTTTAGTTCCATAAAAGGAAAGCAGAAAACAAGTGGATTATTGAACACACCCTCAACATTCGTCTCATAACCTGTGAAATTACCATCTGATTATATACATCCCCGTGATAAACCACCTTGTCTCACCATGATGCTACAATCCCCAAACATTGGAGCGGGATGGGATTCAAGCTGGAATTAAAGCACCTGGAATTCATGGTGTTTCATCAGTGAAATCCAATCATGAAAAAAAACACCATATGTTTGATGCTAGCCCAACAATTTGGATGGAACCAACCACATATTTCATCATATTTCATGGTAAAATCATTCTTCAATCCCATTCTTGACTGCCATGTTACTGTTCGTTAGACAACTGTTTCTGACACTTTTGGCTGCGATAAAAGCCATCGTTTTTCACTCGGTCAACTCGGTCAACTCCCATTCAAGCTCCATTCTTGATGAACATCCCATTAAACCATAGTAAACCATGTTAAAGCATATTAAACCATGTTAAAGCATATTAAACCATGTTAAAGCATATTAAACCATGTTAAAGCATATTAAACCATGTTAAAGCATATTAAACCACGTTAAAGCATATTAAACCATATGAAACCCAGATAAACCCAGCATGTTTTGCTGAAAAAAACAGCACTGGCCCCATTTTTGTTCCGGTCGTTACGACGTCGTCACCGCGTGGCGCAGGAGTCGCAGCAGGCCAGCCTCGCTCTCAGCAAGGCGACTGATGATGCGGCCCGCTTGGATGGAGACCTGGGTAAGGAAACATGATGGGTTTACCCTCTGGTAGTTTAACGTAGCTATGGGAAATCACCAATTTTAATGGGAAAACTCACTATAAATAGCTACGTTAAATTACCAGAGGGTATGTGGGTTAGGTGGAAATTAAGGAACAAAAAATCGGGATTGATGGTGGGTTTTCTGGGATTTAATGGGATTTTGCCAATGACAAATGAGATTCGCCTACAACAAATGATGGGTTGAATGGAAGTTAAGCATCAAAAATGATGGTTTAATGGGATTTCATGGTTGAGGAGCGTTGCACCATGGACCTTCAGCATACCGCTAAAATGGCTCTTAGATATAAAGGATCCACATCTTCAAGCCCTATGGAACCATTAACCATACCAGATTCTTAAGAATATACTTCTGGATGGTTCCATACCTTAACCATTGCCATATCTTAACCATTACCATTAACCAGTGGATCACTGCTGGACATTCAGATTGAGGCTGAACAAAAATACCATCGCACGGAGAAGTTGCTGCTGCATCTTTCATCTCTAGGGGGCACACATTACTTAATCAGACATGGAGCAACGTGAGGGACCATCAAAAACCAAGATTGAACCCTCAACACATCTGGAAAATGGTGGTTTTTACTGTCCAAAATTTGGAATTTGGCAATGAATCTCATGTTTTTATGGGGATACGAATGGGCTGTTAGTGAGACTAGTAATGGGATATATAACTGAGCGCAGAAGGTGGCGCCCCAGCTTTGGAATCGCTTTGTATGACTAGTATGTATATTATATATAAATATATGTATACTGTATATGTATATAAATAAATACATAATTATATATATATATATATATTTATGGGGATATTAGTGGGATACAAATGGGATTGGAACCTATGAAAATCCACTGGATTTGACCTCATGAAATCCAAGGTTCTACGGAATATGCCCATTCAGGTGATGATTTCTTGAAATTTACATGTTCTATCTTCTCCAGGATGATGAATGTGTAAATAAGTCTATATCACATCATTAAAATCTTTCATGTGTCAATAACTTTCATGTAACACACCCTATTACTGGCAGGACATCTCGGGAAAAAAGTCAAAACATGGGGGAACCATAGGGAACCAACTACTTCAGTGGGTTCCCTGCAACACATGGACTTATGTTTGGGACGTTTTTCTGCAAACCTTTGGAGAAGCCAAGTTGCCCAGTGCAGGAAGCAATTGGTTGCCGCAAAGAGAAGCGTTCGAGAGCCTCGAGCACTAACACGGATGGCGAACTGGAATGTACAACTTGTATAACCATGTTGAATGGATAAATCACCATAGTTCTATACATGACCAGAGGCTACATGTGTCACGATGTTACCATCCCTTCGTTTCTCCCTGTTATCAACAAGGTGTGCATCATTTCACCCGTTCACATTACACTGGTTGGTTAGTTAACATTCATATGACGGGTTATAAAAAAACGGCTGGGTTACCAACCTCAACCAATTAAGCCATCAACACAGGTATTTCCTTCATGGCTCATGTTAGTGACTAATCTTTAATAACCGCACTAAACCCCACTTATCTATCTGGAATAAACCCAATCAATCCCAACTAAATGGGCTTGTCTGAGTCTGAAAATATGGTACCCCAATCCATCCCCTGATCAATCACAAGTTTCCTCATTATTTGATGCCCATTTGGGGAGTATACAACATGTTCAGAGACAGAAAAACATATATCATATCAACTTAGTCAACTATTTCCCACTCAATCCCATTTTTCACAAAAACGTACACTTTCCCAAAACTATATCAAATCCCATGATATCCCACTCAATCCATGGCTTTTTTTGGGCCCCCGGAGGCCGAGGGACACTTGTTCAAGATCCTGACCTTCACCAAGCATCGCATCGTGGCCATCAAGGTGGCCTTGGCATAGCCAGGACGGGAATGCGATCTACATATATTACATATAGAGATATAGGCATATATGTTATCAGTATATTAATATATATATATACTGTGTGTATATATATATATTGTCATATGTATATTATATATGTATATCGAATCATATTAGAATATGTCATACTAAATGTGCTTGATACTATATTAAACTATTGTATGCTATATGTCAAAGGGTGCAAGTTCCACCAGGATTCCAGCCCACCACTTTGCCGGATGCACGTTTTGCAGCGGCCTTAAACTGGCAGTATCCCCAATATAAATGCCATAAGAATGTCATTGAATCCCATGAAAAATCCCATTGAAACCCATGAATTCACCATGAAACCACATTGAATCACATGGAAAAATAAACATTTTTTATCATCCCATGAAAAATCTCATGAAAAATCCGCAGCTTTTCCAAAAGTTGTTTCGTCAAGGTCCAGAAACCGTCGAAAAACCCAGGTACGAAGACCAAAGGAAAGCCAATGAACATGATGTGCGCACCTGCGACAAAGAGCCCTAGCTGGGACCTGACAAATTTGCTGGATAAAGTCCTCAGAATTCATGCTGGGACCCGACAAATATGTATAATATATCATATAATATAACACAATATAATATAATTATAATAGAAAAGAATATACCATATTATAATACATATTTGTATATATATATATACAATAATGAAGAATATGCGCCTGACCAAAAATGGCAAGTCCTGATTTGTCATTTATAAAAGACAGATTCGCTTTAAGCTGATAACCGCCAATATTGAATTTCCAGGCTTGAATTTGAACATGAGCTGTCCTTCTTCATGAAGCTTTGGAAGTCTAGTACAGAAAGTTTTAAATAGTGTGTTTGGTTTCTTTGGTGACATGTTTTTTTTTTGCGACAACCATGATGGCCTTAATACTCTATATCCAGCAAAACAAAATCGTGTTTAAAACCGGGTATGACACGTTTCCCCAGGTACCAATGAACATGAATCCATCTAATTTACCGTCCTGCTTTGGCCATACTTTCATGATCAAAGCCACATGTTGGTTGACTCATGGCAGGGTCACATTGCGAATCGTTGACTCAAGTCCAAGGTCCGATGCCCATCAGAATTGAAAGCTCCCATCCGACTTCAATCTCGTTTATTTTTCCCCTTCATCTGAGCAAATTACATATATAGTTCTGTTTGCGACAGATCGGACATATATAGTTTTGTTTGCGACTTGGATGGAAAAAAACATAGATCACCGTCACCAACCAAAAATAATGACATTGTTGGAATGGTTTACGCCAGTCACCACCATCTATGGTCAGCTTTTGGTGACGGTGAGCCCGGTGAGAGGTCCTTAAGCTTTAGTTCGTTTGTCATTTATGAATGGTCTAACCGAGTATAACCGCAAAAGCAGAGCTGTCCTGACTGGTTTCCTGATTCTCTACCCATCTCTACCCTCCGGTGATGCTCCGAACAGGCCATGGCGTGGCCGCCCTTCTTCCCAGTGACATCGTAGAGATCTGGTGAACCACGCCCAGGTGTGAAACGCCGTGCAATCCTGGCGGGAATGCGAGGTGGTCGCCTGCCAAATGATGTTGCTTTATTAAACATCATTAAATTAACATCAATATATGATATATGATGGTATATGATGGTATATGATGGTATATGATGGTATATGATGGTATATGATGGTATATGATGGTATATGGGTTTTCCTATTATACTATTGAATACTATTGTTACGTATATTATAATAAACCATTATCAACCCTTCTTGGTAGTAATATTGGCCATGAACTAAGCTAGCAAACTATGCGACACCACCATGCTTTACAGTGTGTCACATGGACAAGCAATTTCAGTTGGGAATAATCCTTAGAACTGCGCTTGTGATGGCAGAAGTGGGCTAGCCTACTTGCAATTCGCTGCCAACTGGCTATGCATCAGATTTTGCTGGACAAGATAAGATATCAAAGGATTACACTCAACACAAGAGCTGCTGGGATTTTCTCATAGTTTAAGAAGGAACAGCAAGAATGCACACGACTTGTGATAAGATTTGATAAGGTAAGCAACAGCAGCCGGCGCCAATCAGCGACCCCTCCGGCAAATCAATACGACTATAGTGACTAAATGCCCTGACTGTATTTTGCGGATCACAGTTGTGCGGTTCAACATGGATAACTGGAGATAATCACCCCAGTCGGATGGATTCTTCACAGGGCTCCATGGATGGATCTGGCGGATATGGTAGCACAATGATATACTGCATATCGGTTTTGTAGAACACCACAACTCGATCCATCCATGAGCATCCATGTCTATGTCGTGTGTATATTTGTAATAGTATTAGTGTTGTGTTTTTAATTAATATTGATAGACTCATTTCATACTGTACATGCAATATCATTCATACCTGCAAATTGGACAAGGGGTCACCAACATGTACCAACAAGTCAGTCACCGATGTGTTCCCTTGCTGCCCAACAAAATCATCATTTTCCAAATCCAACCCACCCGTGTTTCGAATCAAAAGGACCAATTTATTGTCGCTGATTGACGCGACGATTTTCACATGTCATACTGGTTTGCCGGGTGCATATTATAAACATCTATGAACCTTGATAGTAAATAGGAAATTGTCGGAACATTGGGTGCACCCCATAATTTGAGCATCATTTTCCCTATGCAAATGACCGTGTTAAAGCCCATCCCGGGTTTTGCAGCTCCTCTACGATATAGTCCAACTGGTGCATCGCCGGCCAAACGGATGAGACCAAAATCAAGTGATATGGCATTCTGGCCTCAGCAATAGGATGGTTCATTGGGACTTAATGGGATCCAATGGGGGTTAGTGGGGTTTAATGGGCTTTAACCAGTGAACAATGTTATGTCATGGGAATATATATATAAATATAATATATATATATAAATATTATATATATATAAATATTATATATATATATAAATATATATATATATATTATATATAAATAATATAGTGGGATATAAACTTGAGATACAATGAGACATACAATCAACAATATGGTAACCTTGCGTGACTCTTGGATGGCAGTTCTTGGAAAAAAAAATGATGAACCTTGGTGGTTTCTGTATGTCATCTGAGCGTTCAAAACTTCAAACGCCAAAATGTCAGAAACCATGAAATACAACGCTTGGTTCAGAAAGGGATTCCCAGTTTATGAATGATGATACTCCCCAATATGTAATAAATATATAATATGTAATATGTATGTCTCTATCTAGGTGTGTATATATATATATTGCATAGTATAACTGTGTGCACTCATCAACCAACAAGGGTTTTCAACATCGCTTGTCTGTTCATTTTGGCAAAAGGAGGGCTTCCCGAAGAAGAGGAACATCGAACCAATACTGGGAGGGGGACAACAAAAAGGCAGCTATATATACATATATATATATATTATATCGTCTTATTATTCTTAATAGTAGTAGTATTATTATTATTGAATATATGTGTATATATATATTATTTATGAAGGTGTCCAAAGTTATGGGGATACCCCCTAAATCATCAATGTTAATATAAGTTTCCATTATAGACCATCAATTTTATGGAAAACCACCATAAGTTGCAGTTTACACGTACTTGTTGGAGCCACATTGACCGCTCATCCTAGCAAACCCTTCGGTGGTAACGGTTACCCTTTCTGACTTGCCACCAAAGAAATTTTCACGACTTGGGAAGCCCACACATGGATTCCCATGACTCTTTTTTGGGTGTGTGAGCTTTAGTTTAATGGTGTTCGATGTTCAATGCATATCATTTGGCAAGTTGGAAGTTCATGCGTTGCCTTCAATGCTTTCTCGAATATGAGTTTGTGTTGTTCCAAATCATCACCAAAAAACACATACATCTTTGAAGCAAGATCATCGCTTCAGGTACAGCAAGGATGGAACTAAAAACAACAGGGGTGTGAGAACATCGGGCATTTTTTCCCCCATTTTTACATTGCCAATTTTGGGGGTAGATGTATCCATTTTATTCCATGTTCAGACACACCCAGATGTTCCAATCCACCAAGCAGTTCTGTGAAAGAGCTCCAGCCAAGCCAAGAAACACCGCGGAAGACTTCGCGGATTTGTTTCCGAAACTGACCGCGGATGAGATCCTCATCGGTGAAAGGTGAGCTGGGTTGAACTACAGTAAGGAACATGTACAGTGTTCCTTATATCATCTTATATCTCAATATATGTATGTATATATTATATATATAACATACTCAATATATATATATATAATTATCTATATATATATAATTATCTATATATATATGTATATTAAACTATAATAATTATATATTTGTGTGTGTGCCATGGTCAAGTTACATGGGTCGCTATGGATTATGGTCCTCCCATCATTAGGAAATCCTGAGTGAATATGCGCATAAATCCCTAATGAGGGGGGGATGACCATAGCAAAATTACATGAGATTCTTGGTTAAACATGAAACACCCAACAACCCCGATTTTGTTTCTGGGTTTTTGATTGCACATAAATCATCATAAATCATCCATTTTGGGTGATTGAATCCACATCTACAAACATCTGGTCTTGGGGAAATTTATTCGGCATTTAGCTAGGAAGAGGTGAGGTTTAACCGTTTAACCCCACAAGAAGGGAAACGTACGTACATTCAGAACCATGCTGTGGGTCAAGCTTCAATATTGACGTTTGGTGTGGTGATGTGCGGTTTATCACTGGTCCACACCTGTGGCTCATCACAAGGGACTCTACGCAAGCAAGACCGCAATCTAGACTACAATGGGGGCTACACGTTGGGTGCTGCACACAAGGGGCTCCACAGAAGCAACACCAGACTAGGGAGTCCACGTCATACGGACTCATTACAAGGGATATCACACAAGCAACTCAGACTCCACATAGAGACTCGACAGAAGAAACACCAAAATCGAGACCCCACACACGTTCGAGACTCCACATAGGGGCTAGACAAAAGGGACTCCGCAGAAGCAACACCAGACTAGGGAGTCCACATCATACGGACTCATAATAAGGGATATCACACAAGCAACACCACAATCGAGACTCCACATGTTCACGGCAGAAGCCGGCCGCACTGCAATCAAGTTCCAACGGGAAAAAAACAGATCGCCTTCCAAACTCATGCTGATGCTGGGTTCCAATACTCCTCCTCTCGAAGGTAGGGCGCCGCCCTGCTGTATCCTGAACAATTCAGTGCTACTTGTACTTTGAACATTTTCTACGGATATCATCAGATATCTATGGTGAGGTTAAATAATGATTCATTATAATTCAACCAGAATCCAACGTGGAGGAATCCTACGTGGAGGGACCTAGGTGGAGACTCATGTGGAGGCCCTACAATCCGTTTCTCCAGTTTCCACCTGATTTCCTTGGATCGGTCCCCGGAAAGAGGACACAGTAGGATTTATTGTCCGAGGCGCATCGAACTTGGCTAAGCCTTCTTCCACGTCTCCGCTACCATACCTAGCCGGTCTGTGGCTGTGACAAGGCCATCACTAAAAGATACATGCATAGTCAGTTCAAATAATATGTCCCCTAGATGAAACATGAATCATGTGGTTAACATCAATTCCATCCGGAAAGAGTAATGCCCTATATTGCGGGAACCGAGATAATCAAAGGTGAAGCTACAACAGGCTACAATCGTGCTAAGCAGTCGATGCAATTGTTAGCTGCGGTGCTGAGAGAACCAGCCTATAACAGTACAACAGGATCAAACGCTCTTGTCTTAGAATAGGAAACATCTATGCCCACACGCACTATTTTTAAATTACATTCTATTACATTACATTACTACTTGAGTGATCCCCACCATTTTTTGTTTTTGTTTTCTGACATTCTATCTGACACCTTATCTCGCATCCTATCTCACATACATATAATATGCTATCAGTTGGATCGGACACATTATCTGACATCCTGTCTGACATAGATTCTGACACTTTATCTACCATGTATATCTCACATATTCTGATTACTCTGACATTCTATCTGACATATGTTCTGGCATTTCATTTGACAGATTTTCTTGCATTCTGCATATTCTGGCTTATGTATATATATATATATATATGCATTCTGACATTTTATCTGACTGCATTTGTTTAAAACCCCTGAAGTAAATCGAGGTTCACAGCTGAGACCATCGTCTATACAGTCGACAAACATGGGTGGATTTTCCAGCAATCTTTGATTACCTAGCCGGCTAGCCTTTAAACGCGGCAGCCAAGTTGCCAATGTGCAATGGATCCCTCGACCAGCTTGCGATCACAGGGCAACTTCCTGGGGTTGTGGGATCCATGGTCGCGATAAAAATCCCCAGATCACAATGAAGCTACCAGACCGAGACTGATGAAACTGGGGCATGTTGCAACATGTTGCAATATCAAAACATGAGCCACACATAGCTTGACATAGCCACTTGAGTCACTTGATGTTTCAGCCAACAGGCCAACAGCAAATTTCACAGCTAACATCATCCATAGGATAATGTATCAAGATTCCACAGCATCCTGTCAAGGTCCATAGGCCAAAAGCGTATGGGCCGAAATAAGACCCTCTCAAGACAATGAACAAGACCTTGGAGCTTGTGAGTGTGAGTCATAGTGACATTTTATTTTCCATAGTTCACCATACGAGTAGTTAGATATATAGTTGCCCTATTCTTTGTGAACGAAACCAACCTTGGCACCTTTCCGCACCGTCCGGCCGCGCTCGTCCAGGCGTCTCCATGGTGCCCGGATGGCAATGTCCATTGCTGCAGCAGAAGCATTGCGCACGACGGGCTTCGAAGTCCTTGAGGCTCAAGCTCAAATCTTCCACCTGCCAGCGGTTCAGGCGGAAAAGACGTGAAAAGAGGTGAAAAGCGGAACACCGCTAGCAGTGGAAAGAACTGGAAAGTGTAGAACATGTGCAAAACATGGCTGTATTGATATGTCTCATCCATGTTTCTGATTTGCCCAGCTCTAGAACTTAAAATCTATGTCCCCTCGCAGGTTGCGATGACGATATCGTCAAGTTACATGGAAATGAGTTATGGTCATGCCACCATCATCGGGGATTCCTTATAATGGGTATACTAACCCCTATTCATGGATAGATCACCATCCCCTAAGATTGTCAAATGAGCCAGGTTTTGACCACACCAAATAACCTCAAAAGTTCTGCCATTTGTGAATGATTAAACAACATTCTAGTGATGTCGCTTCGGGAGGTAATAGATGGTAATAGTAATTCATCTGGCAGTTGGTTTCACCCCATCCCAAGGATATTGGTCAATTTGGACCATCCCAATATCATCAAGGCAACATGCAGTCAAGCCTCCACTGCCCTGAAATCTGTTGCTTTGTTCTCCATAAAGTTTGGGTAGCTTTTAACCAGACATGGTCCCGGCAGTCACAACTGCAATGAAATTATGACCTCCCAAGCCCCGCAGCCAACCTCTTCGAGAAAGTCGTGGAAGCGACTGGCAAAGGCTAAACTCACCTGGCACCCAAGAGTAAGAGATAATTTGATTCATGAAGGTAACTGAACATTGTGGATTTTGATGGATTTTGATTCTCATGGTTTATCTAGTCTGTCCATATGCCCACATGTCCGCAAAAATATCAGAATCACAGTCCGGTCACAGCAGTCACAGTCGGTGAAGCACCAAGGGGAGTCCCAGTGTGGACAACTGCTTAAAGTACACTCTGGCAAACATGGGGTGCTGCAGTGCTGGACAATTCCCCATTTAGTTCGATGATTCTCATGATTTCCCCATAAAAACTTCCATTGCCATGTTTGTTCAATACGCGGGACCCTGAAAGATCATGTGAAGCATCTATACAGATCTAGGTACCCCAAAACCATTGGTTGTTTCTCATCGTTTCCCGAAGAAATATGGCGCCTGAACATAGGGTAGCCCAACTCTCACGTTTGATCATCAGTTTCCCACATTGTACGATGATATTTTTGTAACTTTGAGGTCTCACCTCTACCACCATTTTTAGATATCTTTGACAGGGTTGCTCCCAACACCTCAAATATCCAAAGGGGTGGATCTGGGTAGATAAAGAAGCTTGTGGCTATGATTTACAAATACGTGGTTGAATCAACCCAGCTCATATTGCTGGTTGTATCACCATTACATCCACAGTTTTTGGTTAACAAGATTCATAATCATCATGTATGCTTAATCCCAACCAAATATCCTGTATCCCAATCAGCAAAAATATCAAAAATGTTATGTAGACTGTAGACGTAAATCACCACATCTTGACTAGGGATAGAACCATTATAAAGCACATATTATGGATAGATATGGAGAGGTATAACCACTATTACCATGGAAGCAACATGAACCACCCATGAAACCAAGCCCAAGCGGCAAAGAAGAACGCCAGACTCCGCGCCCACTTATCCATGTAGACCCGCAGCAACTCCATCATCCACGTGCACAACCTGCGAACCCGGTGGGTGAACTTCCCAAAGTTAAACCTTTGTGCTCCACCGTAGATCCTCCAAAGAAATAGCGTTCCCTTCAGGCGGTCTACCGATGGCAAAGTCCCATAATTCACCAAGGTTTACCGGGCGTCCCCAGTGCGACCAGGTCGCGCGATTTCGGACGTCACCCGTCCCAGAATGATGGGCAAACAAATCACCCGGCCTGGTCGTGTCAACAACAGAATCGGGGGGATGACCAAACATGATGAGCTGTAAGTAAATGGCCATGGGTCAAATTTGAAAACCTGGGGGACCACAGATTTTAGTCTAGATTTTAATATTAACCATCCAATATCATCCAATTATTGGGGTATCCAATTTTCACCCATATCCAAATAAGCATCATACATGGGTATGAAACCCAGCAAAAATCGAGGTATGGAGATGGTTCGCGGGTCGACAAGAGGTCCTGCTTACGTGGTGAAGCGAATGCTAAAGCTAGACCCCACATAATATATATATATATACATAGTATATGGCATTTTGTAGGAAAACATATGAACAAAAATATGGGACTTAGAGTGTTTTCACCTATCTCATACCCGGCTGCAAGGCTGCACTCCTCTTGCGGCTGGGAAATTCTCTTGAAGGTACCTCGAAAATCTTATATGTGGAATAATAAACCTATATAATATTTGGCCATTTGGAAGGTGGTTTCTACCACCCATCCATGGTGATTTTGGATGATTTTGGGATATTCGGGGATGGTTTGAATTGGGTTTACCACAGTAGCCAGATATGTCAAGTACTATGCCTATGCCTAGGTCTCACTGAACTTCATGACTTGGATTTGCCCCGGCCCAAGTCCAACTATTCACTGCCCCAGAATCCTTTCAGTCCAGTGTGGTTTACAACAAGGTACCCGACACCTGCTGCAGCCGGTTTTAAGTATGTGCACTCACTTTGTTGGTTGTTGGGTTGGTCAATTCAGTCTTTAGCAAATTGACTCCAAAAGAAGCATCTGCCAACATCAACACTTGAGAGTTGCACTAGCACTACGATACCAATGACCATTTTTATCAACTTCTTGGGGTCCCTCATCAAATGTGGTAAACCATCCCCTGGGCGCCGTGTAGATTTCCCGTGTCCGCCTTCCGGTTGTGAATGCAGAAATGCTGCCAGCTCGAAGGTACACCACCTGGAGACGGAGGTTTTCAGTCTCCTGGTACCCAGCTTGTTGTCCTTTCAGGGTAGCCAAAGCCCAAACAATCGGCTTCAAGAGGCAGCCAAATGCTCTCAGCTTCAGGCTTCACAGACAATGCTTCATAGTATGTAGGGGCGACCATCCAAACACCAGTATGGGGACCAAAATATGAATATAAATATATATATATATAGATATATCTCCAAGGGGTGTAGTGTTTATTTCCGATTATTACATGACTCGGTGAAAAGGCCAACCTGCAGAAAAAACAAAAACTGGGAACAAACAAAACAAACACTATAGTAGTTTGCTGCAAGAATTCCCTCAAATCCACCAATTTTTCACCATGATTTATTGCATAATGATTTCACCCTTTTTGCAATCCCAATCCTTATTGACTTAGTTCTTTCTCGTGGTTTTCCATGTTCTTTCTCTAGTGCTTTAAAAACTAAGTCTCAATTGGCAAAAGCCATGTATTTGTGGCTTGAATCCTGTGGCAAAAGCACTTTTGCAGGGCCGCTTTATTTCTTGAGCCACGGCACAAGCGCGTGAAGTAGCTTCGATCCCAGGCCACCAGTAGCGTACGGGATCCTGGGCGTCATAAAATTAGAGATGTATACATAGTAGATATACAGATATAACATGACATAACACTCTGAATGTGACTATGTATAGATTTTCATATTTGTACATATATATATATATGAATACACAATAATACAAAGACATGATATATTATAAAAATCTAACACAATACATACGTTGCAGGACAGCAAGAGGTGTGTGACCGAGGATCTGTGGAGGATTGCGCCGATCGACTTAATGCCGCGTGTCTTCCTTCAAGGTGGTGCCCCATAGTTGACTAAGTTGGTTTATAAGTCCAATATCTAGAGTTTAAGGGGGTTATATCTATAGTTCATGGGGATTATAAGCCAACTAACATAACTGGGGGGCACCAGCTTGTAGCTATAGGGGTTTCCTAAGCAAAAAAACTGAAACAACAAACATAACCAATCAATTTAGACTGTTTATTCCTTGAAACAAATTCTGTGAGATGTCCTGGATCATACCTATTCTCTTGGCCAAACTTGGGCACGATGCGGAAACGTTTTTGTGCTTGATGGTTACCATCCGGTGTCATCAAACGTGGCAATCGAACATCCACCATTTATAGATGATTTTCCGAGCTATAAACCTCAATTTAGTTCAGGAATTTTCCAGCCAGCCACGTTTGATGACCGGAGGGCGCCGGAGGGTAATAATTAGTCCCCTACAAGATGAGGCCCCCATGAACCAGTTATCCTCCATAAACCTTAATTAACCAATTTATAACTTGGCTATCTAGGGTGCCTCACCTTGGATGTATGACCCATATATATATATATATATATATATCTACATAATGTATACATACATATAATCATGGTAGTAATCTACTCGTCACCACCCTCGTATCCTGATTTTTTGCAAGCGCCCAGTCCTTTCAGCATCTTGTTGATCGATACAAACCTTGTCCTCAATTTCGGCCCACAGATAGACGGAACATGGTTTGATACTTGCGGTACGCGTTTGGGTCAAACCCTCAGAAACTCTTGCTCAGCATTCTTCATATGGCATTATAGATAATTAATTATAATTATAATAATTACTATAATGGATAATTATGGAGACTTAATTATGGATAATTTTTCTACGGTGTCAACTACATTGAAACAACATACCTGTTGTACATGTGAAAGTCTTAACTGCAACCATCCCCATGGGAAAACTGCTCCGGAAAACTGCTCCGAGATGGTGCTAATTGTCTAGTGAACTTAAGTTTTTAGCATTGAATAAATTAGCATGGATATGGAACATCCTTCAAAATTCATGATTTGTAGACCTGTTTTTCTTGGGAAACCACAGCCTTTCTATATCTGCCTGAATCAATTGGAGTAATTCACCAACCTGCAAAGTTCGGCTTTTTTGGGATGATTCATAATATATATATATGTATATACAATTGTATATATAAGAATTCAGAAAAAACATTTTTCAAGTGACGTCGCAACTCGAGGCTGCTGTCCATAACTTATCCACGTAAATGCTCATCCCACAAATTAATATTCTGGTTGCTTAAGAAATTTGATATGTAGTATATATATATAATCTTAATTACTGGGATACCAAATGGGATTATTCGTTACAATCCCCATAGAAGAATGTCATTCCCATTTGTTGGTGGTAATGTAACCCCCAGACAAATCATCCAGCACTTGAACGTTTCCTCAGTCATGGGGCTACCCCAAATATTATTATTATTACTATTATTATTAGTATTCTTATTATTGCTATATTATATATATATATGGTTGGTTGGTTGGTGGTTAATGATGGTTAATGATGGTTAATGATGGTTAATGATGGTTAATGATGGTTAATGATGGTTAATTATCAGCCCTAGTTGACTTATAGGTTATAAAAATACCATCATATTTAATGTCAACCCTGGATTAATAAACCCCTGGGCTGTTTAATTGGGAGGGTACCATTTAAGTACTAGATTATGACTATTGGAGGAGTACCCCCCTAATTAACAAACCATGGTTTATTAATCCGGGATTGGCATACCATGAGTAATGATGGTTGAACCACCATGGTGGAAGCGCCAGGGTTCCAAAAAGATCCACCTCCTTCTCCATCGGGGAAAAAACGCTCGGATGTGGTGCCAGGAGAACCTGTGGCAACGGCCGACGGCCATTTCGGCGTTCAAAAGAGAAGCGAAATCCATGAATCATGGCTATTTCCATGGTGATTTCAGGAGATTTTATTGGGATTATATTGCATTTAATGGTATATAATCCCTTAAGCCCCTAAATGGTGATCTCCATGGTTAATGGTGATTTACAGTACATAATTGGATTTATAGTAAACAAAATGCTGATTTAATACTGATTTAATGGGATTTCATGGGAATTACTGGTATATACTCCCTGAAGCCCCTAATATTATACACACCCAAAATCCTTCAAAATCCAACATCATGGTTTGATAGGGAATTGACATATATTTAATATATTTGGGACCATTGATACGGTGTTTAATATTGGGCGGAATTACTGTGGTAGTGATATATGTTTGATGTTCTTTTGGGGGCCAAAATCCGTCGCAACTGATTTTCAGTCTGGATTGTAACCATCTTGAGACCCTGAATGGTAGGGGCTGGAAATGATTGAAACTTACCACTATAGATACAAACATAAGGTTCTGGCAAAAAAAATGGTCGTCAATCTAAAAGTTTTTGCCACCGGGCAATGAACTTGATTGTTTCTCTTTGGTTTCTGCATCATTTCATGGGGTTTGGTCACGAATAAGGTAGTTATGTATTATTCAGATATGTTTGAGGCAATGCTAGGATGAAAAAGGACAATTTTGCCCAACGCCCATGGTCAAGTGTGGTTGGATATAAAGCAGCAACTGTGGTCAGTGTGTGAACAAACATGCGGCAGCAATCGGCAGCAGGAATGCATGGCTCAAAAATCTCCAATGTTATCTGCAATGTTTCATGGAGCATATCAGGTGGTGCCCTCCAGTTTTGCGTTTTGGTTTTTGTTCGCCCATTTGCCATTAACTAGATCGATTTATCTACCATGAACTCTAGCTAGCCTAGTTGGTTGCTGGTTAAATCCCCATTTCTTCATGGCTCACCAATTGTTGCATCATCTTGGTGAAATCACGTTCACATCCATTTGAATCATTTTAAACCCCATAAAACCATAATTACTTTACTTCGTGTGATCCCCACCATGACATTTATACATTTTCTTACTGGCAAATCTTCCGGCATTCTATCTGACATATCTTCTGGCATTCTATCTGGCGTTCTATCTGGCATATCTTCTGGCATATGTTCTGGCATATCTTCTGGCATTCTATCTGGCAAATCTTCTGGCATTCTATCTGGCATATCTTCTGGCATTCTATCTGACATTCTATCTGGCATATCTTCTGACATTTTTCCTGGCATTCTATCTGGCATATCTTCTGACATTCTATCTGACATATCTTCTGACATTCTTTCTGGCATATCTTCTGACATTCTGTCTGGCATACCTTCTGACATTCTTTCTGACATTCCATCTGGCATTCTATCTGGCATATCTTCTGACATTCTATCTGACATCTTTTCTGACATTCTTCACTGCGATCTGGAAGTCGCGGTTGAGGTCCGGCAGTGCCCACTGCGATCTGGAAGTCGCGGTTAAGGTCCGGCAATCCCCACTGCGATCTGGAAGTCGCGGTTGAGGTCCGGCAGTGCCCATTGCGACCTGGAAGTCGCGGTTGAGGTCCGGCAGTGCCAACTGCGATCTGCAACTCGCGGTTGAGGTCCGGCAGTGCCCACTGGGATCTGGAGCTTGCGGTGGAGGTCCGGCTGTGCCACCTGGGATCTGGACTGCGAGGAGGAGGCGGCGGGTGAGGAGGCGGAGGAGGCAGAGGAAGCAGAGGAGGCGGAGGAGGCGGAGGAGGAGGAGAAAAGCTCTGTTAAAATCTAGCAACCCTCACCTGGCAGATGGGGAACAATTAGTTTACTTCGAGTGATCCCCGCCATGACATTTATCAATTTGTTACTGGCAAATCTTCTGGCATTCTATCTGACATATCTTCTGGCATTCGATCCGGCATTCTATCTGGCATATCTTCTGGCATATATTCTGGTATATCTTCTGGCATGTCTTCTGGCATTCTATCTGGCATATCTTCTGGCAGATGTTCTGGCATATCTTCTGGCATATATCTTCTGGCATTCTATCTGGCATATCTTCTGGCATATTATCTGGCAAATCTTCTGGGATTCTATCTGGCATATCTTGTGGCAGTCTATCTGATATTTTATCTGGCATTCTATTTGGCATACCTTCTCGCATTCTATCTGGCATATCTTCTGGCATTCTATCTGGTATATCTTCTGGCATTCTATCTGGCATATCTTCTGGCATTCTATTTGGCATATCTCATGGAATTTTATCTGGCATATCTTCTGGCATTCCATCTGACATTCTATCTGGCATATCTTCTGGCATTCTATCTGCCCGTTGAGGTCCAGCAGTGCACACTGAGCTGGGGAGGTCCCCGGTTGAGGTCCAGCGGTGCACACTGCGCTGGGCAAATCCCAGGTTGAGGTCCAGCGGTGCACACTGGGCTGGGCAGGTCCCAGGTTGAGGTCCAGCGGTGCACACTGAGCTGAGACGGTCCCTGGTTGAGGTCCAGCGGTGCACACTGAGCTGGGCAGGTCCCAGGTTGAGGTCCCAGTGCACACTGAGCTGGGAAGTTGGCAAAGAGCTTGGCGAAGAGAGTTGGCAAAGAGCTTGGCGAAGAGTTGGCAAGGCGGAAGTGGAGGTGGAAGTTGATGCAGACATGGTCGAGGAGAAACTAGAGGGAGGAGGAGGAGGACGAGGAGGAGGAGGAGGACAGCTAGCCGAGGAGGAGGAGGAGGAGGAGGAGAACAGCTCTGATAAAATCTAACAACCCTCACCTGGCAGGTGGGAAAAACAGTGTTTTTCATCATGTTTGATGCATTTTCGCCGCTGAAATCGCCATGTTCAATCCTTAAATCGCCCATTTTGACCGTAGACTCTACGTGACGAAAACCGAACCGCGGCCAGGTCACAGCACTGCCAGGAAGACCAAGGTCATGGGGGAAAAGCCGCGCCAACGCCAGCTCCTGGCGCTTGTTCGCTTTTTTTTCAAGCGTGGAGTTGAGAGATCATTCATAAAATATATGTATAAATGCATCATATTATATATATATTATGTATATTTATATATATTATCAAAGGAAGTTTAGGGGGAGAAACTTCCGTGTTACGGACTTTTAGAATGTCAGGGAAAGAGTTAGTGAGGGAAAGAGTCAGTCAAAGAAAGAGTTAGTGAGGGAAAGAGTTAGTCAAAGAAAGAGTTAGCAAAGAAACAGTTAGTCAGGGAAAGAGTTAGTCAAAGAAACAGTTAGTCAGGGAAAGAGTTAGTCAAAGAAAGAGTTAGTGAGGGAAAGAGTTAGTCAAAGAAGGAGTTAGTGAGGGAAAGAGTTAGTCAAAGAAAGAGTTAGCAAAGAAAGAGTTCGTCAGGGAAAGAGTTAGTCAAAGAAAGAGTTAGTCAGGGAAAGAGTTAGTCAAAGAAAGAGTTAGTGAGGGAAAGGGTTAGTCAAAGAAAGAGTTAGCAAAGAAACAGTTAGTCAGGGAAAGAGTTAGTCAAAGAAAGAGTTAGTCAGGGAAAGAGTTAGTCAAAGAAAGAGTTAGTGAGGGAAAGAGTTAGTCAAAGAAAGAGTTAGTCAAAGAAAGAGTTAGTCAGGGAAAGAGTTAGTCAAAGAAAGAGATAGTGAGGGAAAGAGTTAGTCAAAGAAAGAGTTAGTCAAAGAAAGAGTTAGTCAGGGAAAGAGTTAGTCAAAGAAAGAGTTAGTGAGGGAAAGAGTTAGCAAAGAAACCGTTAGTCAAAGAAAGAGTTAGTCAAAGAAACAGTTTGTCAGGGAAAGAGTTAGTCAAAGAAAGCGTTAGTCAAAGAAAGAGTTAGTCAGGGAAAGAGTTAGTCAAAGAAAGAGTTAGTCAAAGAAAGAGTAGTCAAAGAAAGAGTTAGTCAAAGAAAGAGTTAGTCAGTGGAAAGAGAGTGAGGGAAAGAGTTAGTCAAAGAAAGAGTTAGTCAGGGAAAGAGTTAGTCAAAGAAAAGAGTTAGTGAGGGAAAGAGTTAGCAAAGAAACCGTTAGTCAAAGAAAGAGTTAGTCAAAGAAACAGTTAGTCAGGGAAAGAGTTAGTCAAAGAAAGAGTTAGGTGAGGGAAAGAGTTAGCAAAGAAACAGTTAGTCAGGGAAAGAGTTAGGCAAAGAAAGAGTTAGGAGGGAAAGAGTTAGTTAAAGAAAGAGTTAGTCAAAGTTGGAATTAGTCAAAGTTAGTCAGGGAAAGAGTTAGTCAGGGAAAGAGTTAGTCAAAGAAAGAGTTAGTAGCAAAGAAACAGTTAGTCAGGGAAAGAGTTAGTCAAAGAAAGAGTTAGTGAGGGAAAGAGTTAGTCACAGAAAGAGTTAGCAAAGAAAGAGTTCGTCAGGGAAAGAGTTAGGCAAAGAAAGAGTTAGTCAAAGAAACAGTTAGTCAGGGAAAGAGTTAGTCAAAGAAAGAGTTAGTGAGGGAAAGAGTTAGTCAAAGAAGGAGTTAGTGAGGGAAAGAGTTAGTCAAAGAAAGAGTTAGCAAAGAAACAGTTAGTCAGGGAAAGAGTTAGTCAAAGAAACAGTTAGTCAGGGAAAGAGTTAGTCAAAGCAAGAGTTAGTCAGGGAAAGAGTTAGTCAAAGAAAGAGTTAGCAAAGAAACAGTTAGTCAGGGAAAGAGTTAGTCAAAGAAAGAGTTAGTGAGGGAAAGAGTTAGTCAAAGAAAGAGTTAGTGAGGGAAAGAGTTAGTCAAAGAAAGAGTTAGCAAAGAAAGAGTTAGTGAGGGAAAGAGTTCGTCAAAGAAAGAGTTAGTGAGGGAAAGAGTTAGTCAAAGAAACAGTTAGTCAGGGAAAGAGTTAGTCAAAGAAAGAGTTAGTGAGGGAAAGAGTTAGTCAAAGAAAGAGTTAGTGAGGGAAAGAGTCAGTCAAAGAAAGAGTTAGTCAAAGAAAGAGTTAGTCAGGATATATGAGGTAGTCAAAGAAAGAGTTAGCAAAGAAACAGTTAGTCAGGGAAAGAGTTAGTCAAAGAAAGAGTTAGTGAGGGAAAGAGTTAGTCACAGAAAGAGTTAGCAAAGAAATTGTTCAAGCAATGTAAATGGGATTGCAAGTGGTGCTGGTGGATGAGTTGCCGATGGAGTTTTGAAGGAAGTCTCGCACGAAATGCGTTTTTGAGAGATAGCAGATGCAAGAAAGCCTATGTTTTTCCATACAAAGTCCGTCCCCGAACGTCGATGATCTACCTCTGCGGTGCGACGGGTGCGAGACGGTCTCGTGTGTGGTCGGATCATGCTCGGATCATGGTCGGATCGGTTCCGCATTGTAAATGGGGTTTCACCCGTGTTTCGTGCATGTGCGGTCGACAGAATTCCATTGTGATTTGCAACTGTAGGATCGTTCCCGCAATGCAAATGGCATTGCAAGTGGTGCTGGTGGAGGAGTTGCCGATGGAGTTTTGAAGGAAGTCTCGCACGAAATGCGTTTTTGAGAGATAGCAGATGCACGAAAGCCTATGTTTTTCCATACAAAGTGCGTCCCCGAACGTCGATGATCTACCTCTGCTGTGCGACGGGTGCGGGACGGTCTCGTGTGTTGTCGGATCATCCTCGGATCGGTCTCGGATCGGTTCCGCATTGTAAATGGGGTTTCAACTGTGTTTCGTCCATGTGTGGTCGACAGAATTCCATTGTGATTTGCAACTGTAGGATCGTTCCCGCATTGTAAATGGGGTTGCAAGTGGTGCTGGTGGATGAGTTGCCGATGGAATTCCATTGTGATTTGCAACTGTAGGATCGTTCCCTCACTGTAAATGGGATTGCAAGTGTTGCTGGTGGATGAGTTGCCGATGGAAGTCCATTGTGCTTTGCAACTGTAGGATCGTTCCCGCAGTGCAAATGGCTGCGTCAAGGTTGCTTCGTGCTGTGGCTGCATTCGTAATACTATTGTCTTTTGCAGCTGGATCTCGTAAATCGTATTGGAGTGGCTGCATGAAGGCTGCGACATGGATTTGTTAGCAGATTTTCTCCATTTTGGCGCTAATGATTTTCCTTCTAAAAATCCTTTTAAAAAGTGCTTCAAAATCGTCTTTTTTTCGCTGTGGCGTCGAGATCCGGTTTTGGAGCTACAATTTCCGACGCCGTTGCGCGTAGTTCTATTGTGTTTTGGAACTCAATCTCTGCAGATCGCATTGTAATGGCTGCGTCAAGGTTGCTGCGTGCTGCGGCTGCATTCGTAATACTATTGTCTTTTGCAGCTGGATCTCGTAAATCGTATTGGAGTGGCTGCATGAAGGCTGCGACATGGATTTGTTAGCAGATTTTCTCCATTTTGGCACTAGTTTTTTTTTGTTGGACGTACGTTTAGAGCAGTGTGAAGTGTGGGGCGTGAAGAGTGCAGTGTGAAGTTGGAAGTGTGAAGGAAGCAGTGGGAAGTGGGAAGTGTGAAGTGTGGAGTGTGAAGTTTCAGTTTGGAGTGCGAAGAGCGCAGTGTGAAGTGTGAAGTGTGAGGTTTGGAGTGTGAAGGAAGCAGTGAGAAGTGAGAAGTGTGAAGTGTGAAGTGTGAGTGAAGTGTGGAGTGTGAAGTGCGAAGTGAGAAGTTTGGAGTGTGAAGTTTGGAGTGGGAAGGAAACAGTGAGAAGTGAGAAGTGTGAAGTGTGGACTGTGAAGTGTGGAGTGTGAAGTGCGAAGTGAGAAGTGTGAAGTTTGGAGTGTGAAGGAAGCAGTGAGAAGTGAGAAGTGTGAAGTGAGAAGTGTGAAGTGTGGACTGTGCAGTGTGGAGTGCGAAGAGCAGCAGTGTGAAGTGTGAAGTGTGAGGTTTGGAGTGTGAAGGAAGCAGTGAGAAGTGTGAAGTGTGGACTGTGAAGTGTGAAGTGTGAGTGAAGTGTGGAGTGCGAAGTGCGAAGTGAGAAGTGTGAAGTTTTGGAGTGTGAAGTTTGGAGTGGGAAGGAAGCAGTGAGAAGTGAGAAGTGTGAAGTGTGGACTGTGAAGTGTGGAGTGTGAAGTGCGAAGTGAGAAGTTTGGAGTGTGAAGGAAGCAGTGAGAAGTGAGAAGTGTGAAGTGAGAAGTGTGAAGTGTGGACTGTGAAGTGTGGAGTGTGAAGTGCGAAGTGAGAAGTGTGAAGTGTGAAGTGTGAAGTTTGGAGTGTGAAGGAAGCAGTGAGAAGTGAGAAGTGTGAAATGTGGAGTGTGAAGTGTGAAGTCTGAAGTGAGAAGTGTGGACTGTGAAGTGTGAAGTGTGAAGTGTGGACTGTGAAGTGTGAAGTGTGAGGTGTGGACTGTGAAGTGTGAAGTGTGCAGTGTGAAGTGTGGAGTGTGAAGTGTGAAGTTTGGAGTGCGAAGAGTGCAGTGTGCAGTGTGCAGTGTGAGGTGTGAGGTGTGGAGTGTCGAGGGAAGGACACGGTCTGGACAGGTTGTCTTTGAACTATAGGTCATTTATGTTTGGGAAACTTCCGCCGCCGGCTTGCCCGGGTCTATGTTATATTATATATATATATATTCATTGTGTCACATGATGGTACTATAAATATGTATACATGTATATCTATAAATATACAGTAGAGCAAATGTCAGTATCCAAACTGTATACGACCAAATAAGGTACACTCCTACTTACTAAATTACCAAGCAGCATGGCACTGGAAGTGCAAATCCAGTTTTGGCCGCCACGTTTGAGGGGAGAGTGTGTTTGTCTGAAAGTCCCTCGAACCAGCGAATATCGAAGGAGGAAGGATGCCCACTGGTACTGTGGTGGAAGGACCGTCTGCTTTCTGCGATTTGATGCATGACCAACTAGAGTACCCTTGTACCTACCTGTATGGTTCAGCATCGAAGTCTCTTGACAAAAATCACTGCACTGTGGAAAAAATGACAAACAAAGAAACTTTTGATTTCGTTGATTCCCCTTTTCCCAGTTTTTGTTCACCAACTTATGCGTTTCTCCACCCCGCGCAGGTCCAAAATTCGTTGCACAGGCAAGCGTACTGAAGGCCGCACCACAGAATTGCCGAGATGATCACCTTGGAGGTGTAGTAGCCGCAGTGGTCAGTTGTTACAGTGTCAATAGAAATCCATCTATGTCCATTGCTTAATATTGCTGGTATTATAAATTTTCATTGCCGTTATCATTGGATTCATTAGATATGATCATTTATCATTTATCATTTATCATTTATCATTTATCATTTATCATCATCATCATCATCATCAAAATCATTCAACCAGACTGGGATTAGAACATATTAGAACTGTGCCCTGAACAAATCGAGGTGATGGGCGAACCACCCACCGGCGCATCATGCCTCACCCCACAGCGTTACTTGGATGATCATCCAGAAATGAATTTAGCGAACCATCTAGTGAATCTAGTTACCATGTAAACCTAAATGAACTTGCTTGTAGCTACAAGAACATGTATTTATGTCTAATCAAAGTTAAAGAGGACTAGTTTATTTCATTCTATTCTTTCATCGAGGTGATTCGCAGTGGTTCCCCCCCGCAACTAGCTGCATTCCCATGGTATGCAAAGGTTCGGATACCTTGTCGGCTATGGCGCAATACTCTAGTGCAACTTGACCCTCACAACTACTCATTTTTCAGATCTTAAACCATTCACTTTTGTTTCAGACCATACCCAAATGTCTGGGCAAAATATTCATAAATTCATAAACCCAGGAAATATCAAGATATAAATCATTGTCAGGATGATTCCTATTATTAGCATCAACCATCACTTTGGTTTGTCCAAAAAACATGGTACCCAAAAATGTGTTGATCATCATTTTGCCAATCAAAACAAGAGTCTAACTTGGGGTGAAATCGCCTCATTTTCAGACACACTTTGCGGATCCACCCGCAGCCATTTGGAGGCAAGGGGACAGCCAGGGTGGCTGGCAGCGCATTGAAGTAGTAGAGCAATGTCCTAATCAGTGGCCATTTCAGGTACCGATTTCTTGGAGGTATCTACCATATATGGTCTATTTTCTTGGGGCTATGTGAAGGGATATACCCCAAAATATGGTTTTATATTATATGGATTTATATGGTGCAGTACCTCCGGTTTAGGTACCTGAAGCGGGGTCATTGGTCCCACAAAGCATGGATGGAACTGGGCTACCAATGGGCTCAAAGAAATGTCTCACATATTTTCACATGGAACATGTATCAAAGTGTATCAAACCCATCCTGTCTGGGGGGGTTGAAGAAATTTGGAACTATATATGTGGGTGTACTTGCATTCAATTTTCTCCGTGAGAGAAAATCACAATCACTGCAGACACAAGAACAAGACAAGTATAAAAAAACAAAGCAACTACCTGTTCCGACAGCAGTGAAAGAGGGCCGAAAGCAAGATGTGAGCACTGTAAGCACTCAAAATGGAATTAAGACAAAGTTTGGTAGGTACCGATGAATTACACAAGCAACTAGTGGTTTCGTTGCAGAACATAACCATCATCATACCATCATCTAGCCTTCCAGCATCTTTATCCTGTGAGTCCATCAAGTGGGACAGTGGGACCAGCAAATTTATCGCATTGTGCAGGATGCCGGGATGCTATCCACAAATTCATGCACAGTGTGTAATGGGGAATATCCCAGTCACCAGCGCAACAGATCCAAAACGTCAGCAAAATCTAGTATTAATATAAAAAAACAACATTGTATTTTAGAGGATGTTACTAAATGTTACTAACTTCTATCCATTGGATTCTTTCGGCGGGTTGCTATGCTGAACTGCAGCCATCATCTCAACATCCTCCCGTCTTATGGACACACACACACACAAACACCAGACAGCCCCCCTATTCGGGTCCGGCTGAGCTCACCCTGCGATTTTCACTTGAAAATAAACTGCTAAAATACGGTGCGATGCATATTTGTACCGTCTTCTGGTGGTCGCATAGCTAAACCCACTCTCCCATCCAACATGTTGGGTGGTTGTATCAGTTGTATCCCCATTTTTGGAGAACATCTCATAAAAATATAAAAAATGCGACAAAATCATGGCATAAATCTATATCATACAATGTACCATAAAATGTGGGCTGAATGGATTTATGGGATATTCTATGGCATATACAGCTCGTAAGCTATATCCATCTTACTCCATCATTCAATCCACCTACATTGGGTGAATAAACATCCATCGCATGAATCGCCCATCCCCTGAAGAGGCGGAGTTTCAAGTACTTGTGCCACCAGTTGGCTTGCCAGCCTCGGCGACGACCAGGGGAGTAGCTGAGTCTCCGATACTGGTACTGAAAACAGCAAACAACATTGAAAGCTCACGGACTCTGGATGCATACAATATGAATTTGTCGGTTTATAGAATCTATATAGAAGAAAGTCAATCCATCAATCATACATCTC